TTACGACGAAAAATACCGTTTACAGCTAAAATTAAATTTCTTTCAAACGAAACCATATTCAGGCAAATGAACCTTGATTTCATATGTACAGTACCTGGGCCTAGCAATGTACAAAGCATGTGGGAAATCAAGTTTTGAGCTCTGTCCGCCCGATCTTTTAAAGAATCCACATACGAACAAAACTACAAGCTATAACTCCATCAAAAGAAACTGAATAAACCCCTGTCTTGTTCAGCTGAAAAACAAACGCAGAATTACTCACCTTGTCGAAATAAATCGGCGGAAAGTCGAAACCTAAAGTAACAGGAAAGCGGAACTGTTGGAAACTGACGATGTAAAGTGAAAGCCAGTAATAGACAATTCCCGTCACATGACCAATACATCAAGAGACACGTAAATCATAATAAGGGTCACGCTATTCCGGTTACCAATAGCCTGAAGCGAATGTTCTTTTATAATATAATGCCAGTAACAATGATTTAGACTGCTCTTTGATTTAAAGAAATTCAAAAGAAATTACTTTGATTTAATGATGTGTAAACTCACTCCCGACAGCTTCAAAATTGTCAGAATTTCTTAATTTGTTACACAGGAAATATAACAGATTCCCATTTTTGGATATTTTAGCGTATTTAAAGAATAACCACAAAAATCCCAAATTTGGAAGGGTAAGACAAGTCCCAACCAGGGAACTTGGTTGGGAATTCCCTGGTTGTGACTTGTCCGCTCATTTTGCCAAATTTGGGATTTTTGTGGGTATTCTTTAGATACCCTAAAATATCCAATATTAGGAATCTGTTATTTTTCCTGTGTTAATTATCGATATTTTAATTTTAATAGTCCTTTAGTATTTAATCATGAGTAAATTCCGAGTAAATTTACGCCTGAGAACTTTAGGATTGACAGAACTTTTTAAAGCTTTTTTTAAAAACTTGACATTTCAATTATTTATTGTCGTAGTACTTTTTTAAAAAAGTATTTAAGAGCGACAGTCAGGAAAGATCGACCATTGGGCAGCAAAAGTTGAAAAATCGATTTCCTTCATTTTTTGTCCATAAATAGCTTTTAGGTAGATAAGTAATCTGATGTAAGTTGTTCTCGCAAAAAGCCTTTTATTTTCGAGAAAAGTAAGAATATAAGTTTTCCCGGTAGGAGTCTCAAAATGGCCGTAGTGTAATATAGTGAAGCATGACCCGGCAAAATAACTTATTTAACGGCTCCAAGTTTCGTCGATCGTAAAGAGACAAGACGAAATATCTTCCTCTTCCTTCATCCTTAGCGAGTTACCATTGTTCAAGTCCTTGTTTTTCGATAAAAAGTGAGTACCAGAATACTAGCGCGTTTGATTTTTTTTTCTTCAAAATACTGTCGGCATCGAAAATGTTACTCTTTCAAGAACTGCTTTGCGTTACTACCGTGATTAATATCCGTGACACTCATTCTCTTCAAACTTTACGATTATGTCACGTGCAGTCACGGAACAGATTGTCACGCAGAGTCGCCGGCTGGTAACCTGAGATCAGGCGTTATTTTTTTTTTCGCTTCTTTGCTTTTTTGGCTCCTCGCGAAAGCAGATTACAGAGATAAAGAGGGAGGGCATGATCGCAAGACTACCGGCTGGTAGCGTTCAGCGTTTCAAAATGGCTAAAATTGACCCAGTTCCACCTTTGTACCTACCCTGGGTTTCAGAGGATATTTTTTTTCTCATCGATACTGATGGTTTATTTCATATTAGGTATTTTGAGAACGGACCTCTGGAGCCAGGGTACTTCGTACCCCACTCTTTGATTGGAAAAAACATCTTTGCAATGGGAAAACCTACAAGAAGTACGAAAAACGAGTTTAGACTGTAAATATCTACTTTTGTGCGTTTCGAAATTGGAAGTGTTTACACAACTACCGCCGGCCTACCATGAAAATTCCTGAACTTCGATGGTGTCTAACAAAGATTTTCTTCAATAACCCAAGCCAATTCCCAGGTATGTTTTAAATGAATGTCTAAATGTGTGATTTAAATAGCATGAAGAGAATTAGCCTGTGAACAGGCTCTCTGTTTGGGGAAAGGGTAAAAAAATCGCAAGGAGATTCCCTCTCCTCGAGATTTTTCCACCCCTTCCCAAAACAGAGAGCCTTTTCACAGGCTAGAAGAGAATTTGGAGTTATACCACATGTTAAATATTGCCGTCGAAAATGAGTAACGAACTTAAGTTTTTGTTATCCTAAAAAACCTATCCCACATTTTTGAATTATCTCAGTACGACGAGCCTCGCTATTGTCGCGAAAGTATCTTAACAATTTTTCTGTTCATGGAAAGTGTCCAAATTTCTCCATGCAGCTTCGTCTGCGAACACGAGGAAAGTAGGAAAGTTGATGTTAGCGAATAACCTGAACTATTCTAATTTTTCTCACAAATAAAAGGCTTTCGGCAGGAACAATCTACATTAGATTTCTTATCTACCTAAAAGCTATCTATGAACAAAAAATGAAAGAAATTGATTTTTCAACTGTTGCCGCGAAATAAAGATTTTGGACGATTTTTTCTGACCGTCGCTCTTAAAAATGTAAATTATGGGATCTTCTTATTTGTTTAATTCTTTTTTTAGTTTGCCAAATTTCGCGCTCTTTTTTTCTTCAGCCTGGTTTTCACTAGCGCATAAGCACAAGCACATGTGTAAGCAAGTGAAAACTGGATCGACATAAGCATAAGCATAAGCACAAGAAAAACGGACAGTTCGTGCAGGTTAAGGACGTTGACACACTGTGATTCATACACAAATTAATTGTCTAAAAAGGAAGGACCCGGTAGCATGACTGTGAAAATAGGAAGGCGATAAGACAACAAGACCTCGTACAATGTGAGTCCATCCGGGATTTTTTTTAACAGAAATAGGTCTTCTTTCAATGACGGGTAGCCACCCGTGTTCCAGAAATATAGCCGCAGAGTTCTAGCCTTAAAGGGAGCATCTAGTATCATAATACTCGTACAAATCTCATCGAATAACCCTGCATTACAACTTCCCCAAACAGACACATAGCATATTGGCTTAGTGTTGATTTAAAGTAATCTACTGTTCTATCTAAGCCATAAGCTTTCTGAGAAAGTATTTGTGGCTTTTGGTAACCCTATGCAGGATGGAAGAGGGATCGACCCCAAGGGAAAGTCGATGATATGATGTTCGAAAAGTGGGGGGAGAACCACATGAACACTAGATTTACTGATAAGTAGACTCTCGATAAAAACTGAAAAGATTTATCCCAGTTAGTACGTATATCTGGTAAAAACGTTCATAAACTTCAAAGCTTACCGGGAAATTTCCTCGAAGATGATTACCGTATTTTAGAGATCTAAGTTGAGGGAAACTTGTCTTTCTCACGATATTAATATTTTTGCTGCCTGTCTTCTGGCTAGTGTTCATACACTGAAGGGGCTGTTTACATGGAGGGAGGAAGATGTACAAGGAAGATGCTAAAAGGTGGAACAACTTTTCGTTGGGTTTACATACAGAAATCTTGGTAGTTTTTTGATCCGTCTGGTTACCAAGTAGAGAATGAAGCAAACGTGGCGGGCAACAATCACAAAAATGCAATTTGGGCCCTTCGGCTCTCTCAACTGGCGACCTCTCAGCGAGGAAGATCCTAGCGATACTGACAGGTGCAACCCTTTACATGTAAACCGAATACAGAAAACATTTGGCACTAGCCGTGTTCCGCCTTCTAAGATCTTCCTCCCTCTATTTAAACGGAGTATTAAAGATTTCTGTTGATCATGGCAGTGGCAGATCCAAGTTAGGTTACTCTCCCTAAATATATCTGTCATTCTTCGCTGGTTTGTCACTGTGGTTTTGCCTTTATAAGATCTTTTTTATATTTCAGCAATAGCTTGCTTACCTTACTATTTCTTTACATATTTGTCAACATAATAGCAAAATCTACGTAATAATTGTTCTTTGTTTCATTTTCATAACGTAAAACGTATTTCTAATTTATACGCCAATCGCTTGCACGTGGCAGTGACCAATAGACCTCTTTTAGCTTGTATGTTTTGTTTTCCCATTAGAGGTCCCAGGGGGACTTGGCCTTTGCCTTTTCATAAATTATGCGTACATACGCACGTGAAAAAGACGAAATTTGAAAGGAACAGTTCTCTGGAGTATTATCACATGACCTGTATTGGGAAAACAAGACTTACCAGCCAGGTAAATATACCAGCTAAATATACCGCGCAGTTTTAATTCATTATCATGAAAATTGAAATAAATTTTCTTATTGTCATATGTGAATGGTTACGGCATAACTCAATCTGATAAACGTGTTTTAGTACAAAGAGAAACTAATCTAAATTTGAATACAAGTTTAGCGCATTTAGTACCCAGTCATTTCAGAGACACTAAAGCACCCTTGTGCTCAATAGATTTCTTCAGCTAGTGGTTTGTTTTGTTTTCCCAGTGAATGTCTTAGGCTGTGTTCACACGTGCGCCGGCGCGAAAACCATACTTGAAAGGGCTTCTGCTCACACATGAGAACGGTGATTTTGGCGCGATTTCTTTAACGGCCAAAGTGGAGAGTCACATATCGGATAGGTGTTCGTAGTATGCTGGATAGCTTTTAGTGTCGGCACGAAAAGCTGTCCGCTATAGTGTGTTAATAACAGGCGCGATCCATTCAATCAAAATTTCCGGAAGTTTCGGTCCAAAACTCAATGGATCGGCTCGGTCCAACCGGAAAAGTTTCGAAAAAACCGGTCCATCTTTTGAGGTGAACCACTTTTCCCGGTCAGACCGGTCTGAATTTTGGTTAAATGGATCGCGCCCAACATAGTCTTAGAGCGATTTACCTTTGTTGTTTCATGAATTAGGCGTGCATATATGCATGTGAATAAGACGTAATAAAAAGAACAGTTCTCAAGAGTATTATCACATGACCAACATTGGGAAAACAAAACATACAAGCTAAAGAGGTCTATTCAATTCACTTTTTCTTTACACTGCGCAATTATTCTATCAGCTTTTAAATATCTCTTCTCCTTTGACTTGCTTTTCAAGAAGACCATGAACGTTGGATTTCTCATTCGAAATTTCGCCAAGTTTGTCTAAATCTTGCTTCATTTTTTTCACGATGTTAGAGCAAGCAAGTTCTTGTTTGTCTAGGTTACGAAGGATGACTTCGCTCTCGTGTTTACTACTTTTACTGGCTAGCTTTGCTAATTCTCTCTGTCTGTCATGAAACAAATCTTCAAAGTTTCTAAAGTTTACTAAGAAATTATTCCTCAGTCGTCGAAAAGATGCCAAAGCATCGTCTAGTTCACTATGAATCGCTTCTTTATCGCTACCACTTGCGTCAGCTGCTGATGTTGTTTTGCTTATTGTTTCACTCAGTACAACGTCTCCACTGTCCAGATCTTGCTGTACAGGTACGTCCCCATTGCCAGCCCGACTTGTCTGCGGAAAAAAGGACAGATACATGTATGGCTGTAAAAAAAAGTCCAAATACAGCGAGATAGATCAACCAGTGTAGTATGAGCTGGGTTATGGTTTTACAGCCCGCCGGGCAGCCCACCCCTTCCCAATAGTGAGTGCAATTACCTAACGCAATTTTTTGAGACCGTAGGTCTGATGTATGTGATGCTCGATATGCTGTGTATGGTTTTAAGTTTCTTTTTTTGGGGGCAAGTTACTGTCCAAGGTTTGTTTCTGTACGTCCTCGGTACAAAGATGGCACTTAACTTGGTGAACATCCGAGAGATTCGTGCGAGTACTATTAAATTATTTTACAAATTAACAGCTATTTCAGAAAGGTTGTCGGAAAAAGTGCACGCGACAATCCTGAAAGGTATTGTGGGTGGTTTTGAGTTTACTGTTCTTCAAAGAAGTTTGAAAGAAATCACTAAAGGCCATGGACGAATGTTTGCCAGTGCTAAAGGAAAGCAACAAAAGTAGGTTCGACAGCTACAGCGTCAGGAACGGTGTATTGATCACATTCCATATTCCCTTCGGGATTGTCGCGCGCACATTTTTTCCGACAACCTTTCTCGGAATAGCTGTATACGACGCCGCGAGCTCCAGTTAATGGAAACAGCAGCCCACCGCTATACTCCTACTTTTTTGGGTGCCATGTTGGTGTCTTGCAAAGTTGAATTTCCTTGATCAGTTGATCTGCCAAACCTTCAAGGGGAATCAGACGCACTCGACGAAAAAGGCCTCTGTGAAAACTCGTTACTATTGAATACGCCGTAATGACGCAGCACGTTGTGGCTACTAATTCTATAGCTGTTCCCAACCCTTAACTAAACAGAGTAATCAGTGAGACTGCGTTCGTCATGCGTCCATACTACAATAAAACCTACAATTACCTTACTCGCCAACGCTTGATTTGCAATTTGATCGGTAATTTCTCCATTTCCCTCTGCTTCATCCAGCGGTTTTTCCAACTTCCTTTCTTCTACATTCAACAAATATTAGCGGAGTTGTTAACAGACCAGCCTGCGTCGCAGACGTAATTTAACCCAGGGAAGTAACGTCTGCGAAGAAGCGCCGTGGAGATTCTTGTTTTGTGCCCCCAACTGACTCAACGAATTACCGGAAGTGCGTTTCCAGTATTCTTTTAATCTGATTGGCAAACTGACAGTGGCTTTTTTAACAGACCAATCATGGCGCGTAATAGAACAAGAATTTCGGCGCTGTTTCGCTGACAGACTTTAACAGAGTTTAATGTCGTCTGTGGCGCGTGCTATTAACAGAGGAGCCGTCATTTTTATGCACTCTTTATATAAACCACGATTGTTGATAGTTTTCTACCCTGCTTGCAGAGCCTCCTTTCGTCTTCTTCAGTGGAGAAAAACTTGGTTTTCCGAGTCCGAGCATCCGTTTGTTGATTAGACGATGGTCATGGCTAACTTAAGTCCGCTGTGTCATGCGCACTAGCTATTAAGCCTGGGTTGGAAATTGTATGCTAGCAACAAGCAACACAAGCTCAACAAAGATCTTACTCGATTCATGCATGTCTTTCTCGAGTTTACCAAAATTGGGCAAGTTTTCCCACATTCAGAAACAAAATCAATTAAGGTCGAGGCTTGCATAGGCAATTTCATAAAAGGCTAGATTTTGTACCTTTAATCATGCACTTTAGCGGAAACTGCGTATTCTAGTTATATTTTACAACCGTTCTGAACATGCGCTAGGCGCATCTTCGTTGAACCAGGGACAGCTAACTGGGATGAAACACTCACGAGCGAAATCTTCGCAGGAAACGTTTACACGAAGAACCGGAAAACCCTAAGCGTAAATTTTATTTCCACACCAGCCAGTTCGGTAAGAGAAAGTTGTAGGGGCTCTCTCTAGTCATCTCGTGAATTTTGCTAGCAATGATTTCAACCCCGCTTCTCTTCTCAATTAGCTACCCCTGGCTCTCTGATGGCAATTTTTCTTTATAATTAAAGGGCATAAAATTTCTCGCTATCACCTTTGCGTTCCAAAATAATGTATTTTTCATAGCATACGGTACCTTTAAAAAATATTCCAGGGAATGAAATAATCGGTTCAAAGCACAATGAAAGCAGGTCAGGCCAGATTCAACATCTTTTGACTGTCATCATGCTGGGTAAACATCTCTCTCGATACACTTTTCACTAAAATATTTCACAACGTCAACTACTTTAAAGCCAACAAACCTTCTTAATTTGTTAATGTTCTCTTTCCAGGGAGCATACCAGAATTGTTCTGTGGTTATTAAAGGGTTCTCAGCACAATTACAACGCAGGAGATTTTATTAATATTGTTGTTGACTCTAAAAGTGACTAAATTTAGAACATAGATATGGCATACGGATATTAACACAAACCTGTTCCAGGGAATGCGTCTCCATAAGTTGTGAAGTAAGTGTTTTGGAGATCTTCAACGATGACATCAAGTCTATCCTAAAACAAACATAATATAACATCAAACTGAGCCGAATAGCTGCAGCAAACCTAGTCCGACATTTCGCGACGCAACTATCCAGGTTACTCTACGAAATGACGACTGAGGAACGGCTGCAGAACTTTCATACCGATGAGGGGCCATTACCCTGATCTATGTAGTGCTTCTGATTGATTGAAGTAAATTCCCTCGCGGCAGTACCAATAAGAAGCAGTACCCAGTTCTGGGCCTGTGACACGTCATAAATATGGAATTTCTGTGCTCGTCCTCAGACGTCACTTCGAAAGGAAACTAGTGGTGGCGTTGCGAAATGTCGGCTGGGTTCTCAGATTACAGCAAACCCCCGGCACTAGTAGACTGGGGACGCTTGCCTCCCATGCAGGCTTTTGGGTGATTTTCGTCACCCAACATCCCTCCTCAAAGGAGGACTTTTACCTTAATGCTTTCTCTTTTGAGGTGATGCGTTGGGTCACGAGAAAACAACAGCTGCGTTGAAGACTTTGGAGACCGACGATCTTAACAACGTCCTAACTAGCCTGAGTATTAGTCGTTTCTGGGGGAAAGGGGGAAGAGAGAAGCGAAAAATCTCCTCTCCCTTAGCCCCTTAGCAAGGCTTGATCTAAAATCTCCTCTCCCTCAGCCTCTTAGGAAGGCCTGACCCTCAAGTTACTTCTTAACAGGACAATGAAAATGCTGCAACGCCGTGCGAGAATAGTAAAAATCGGATTCCTTATCGAACAAATGATCTCCGCGCTGTAGCCACTGAACTATGGTAGTCATGGTGTTTCAAGAGCCCTGCACATATACTGCTTGTATCACCAATAATCTACCACACCTAATGGACTGTAGACGATGATATACAGTATGATTGAAAATATTCAGAGATTTGAAACATCAAACGTGAAAATTCTTAGTTGTAATTCTTTCAGTTTAAACGACTTCAGAGATTGAAAATAAAGAGAAAAGGAAAACGCAAAGGGTTCGAAACGGGTTTGAAATTACACTTACTCTTGGCTGATCGACTGCAGGAGTTAAGAAACCACGGCATTCGGGCGCACACGGGCACCTTCCAATACGTTTTTTGCACAGGCAGACCACGCCCATAACAATACAGCTTATAATGTTGAGCGGTACAGGAACTGGATGCAAGTAAGTGTATATTTGAACTGTGATGGCTTTCTTGAAAGACCACTCTTTTAGAGAGTTTTCCTGCAAAATAATAAAAACAGTTTTATATTTAATAGGCAGACTTAGAATTGTCACAAGAGCTCAGTCACGCAATTGTGAGAACTGAAAAACGCCGTTTCATAAACGCTTTGATAACTCGTTTGATGTTTTACTACCTCACCGAGGCAACACCTCAGTTTCCTTAAAACTTCACCTCCTTATAGTATTAACCCTTAACGCCCCAATATCAGCATGCAAATTCTCCAGACTGATCTCCATGCATTTCCTTAAAGAACTGGTTGAAAGAATTCAAAACATGATCAAAGCGTTTTCCCTTTGGTGATCATTTCATTCATCCTCACAACCTTTTCTCTTATTAATGGAAGATTAATTAAGATTAATGTATTAATTATTGTAAGGAGAAAACTGGGATCAATTTAGGTTTCGGGGAAACTGCCCAACAATTAATTCTCACTCTGGGCAAAATGATGGGTTAGGGGAGGGGTAGGTGTGCAGTTTCTCAGAAACCTAAATTTATCTGAAAATTGTTGTTTGTCCCTCTTGGGACTTGAAGGGTTAAATAATGGAGACACGGAAAATATTTCTAACTTCTACGTCTCTGGCCAAAGCCCTTCGAGGTAACCATTCAAATAGAAAAATGTGGTTTTAACTTTCAACCCTGTGACCAATTCCTATGGTGTGACCATTCAGCAGTATATTTTCACATAGAACTATTTAATTAGTTTGTAGCTCTAACTTCTGAGTGTGTTGATGAGATCCTATGATGTTGCCATTGAAATAAAACCTCTACAGCAGTGCTGTTACACTGTTACCTGGTCCTGTATGTTTTTCAGCATTTTCCAAAACGACATTTGGATTTGTCCGTGAATTTTGATTGGATCTACTGACAGTTAACGTTAATAATGGTTTATACCTTACCTCCACTCTTTGGTAAGTGTTTGATAACAGGGCAATCATCATGTTCATAAGTAGAACACCAGCCACGACCAGATATATCGCATATAAGACTTTGTATAGTGTTACGGTTGCCTCGTCAACTGAGTTCAATGAATCTACTTCCGCCATTCCAAGTAAGGACCAAAAAAGGTGTTTTGCAGTCAACCACCAACTGAAACGTGTAAGGAACAAAAAAGATTTGAATTTTCGCCAGACATACTTTTTAAAGAAATCTTATTTTGGCTTGAAAGTCGATCAGTATGAACAGATTTTCTAACTTCCCTGTCCAAAGCGGTTAGTTTGCTCATTCTCTCTCGTTTAATTATATTAACTTCGCATCTTTGCATAGTTTTCGCCCCAAAACGTTATATAAACATTTTTCAAATAATTCGTTACTTTGTCACATTCTTAAATTTAAAATTTCCTCTTCACTCTTCGCAGCCGATGACTGTTTTGTCCGAAGATTTATCTCACAAAAAGCGAACGAAATGACTACTTTAGAATACACAATTTATTTGATAGGAAAGGAAAACAACTTACCAAGATTGTCCAGACGTTTTCCAGACCCTGAGAATATAACGATTGGATAAGAGGATTTTTAATGATCAATATAATTTCTTTACTGTCAGACAATGAAGATTAATGTTTAAGGTTTCATATTAAAACATACTCACGGGTCTGTGCCATTAAATCTCGTCGGAATAAAAGAAATTTCCGTCATGTAAACTTTAGTTATGGCGAATGAAAATGCCAATATTGCTGCTGCAAACTGCCAAAATATTGTGGCAACGTCACTGATGATGCTGAACAAAGCTATTTGAATAGTTCCAAGTCCTTTGACTGTCTCCATCACCTGTCCAAATACTCTGAAGGTAAGAATCATTGTATTGAGGCCGTAAAGGTAACCACTAACGATGAGAGGTCGATTGTTCACCCCTGTCGTAGTAGATGACGACCACACGGCAATCTTAAGGAAAAATGCGCAGCTGTACACGATAAGAGCGACGAGGTCCAAACAGTTCCAGCTACTCCTGTTGTGAGGATTGAAAGAAAAGTAAATTAATGAGTTCCTCTGAGGTTATAGTGCATCAACGGAAAAGATAGTGTTGCTTGCTATTTCCGGGGCCGAGTATGAGGGAAGCCTGGGAACGAGGTTGGGTTGCTGGTTACTTGCCATTCGTCAATAGACTGAATCTGCTCGTTTTGATTTTACTTCAAGTCCCAACTTGTCTTAAAATCATGCAACATAATTATCTCTGAAGAAACATCACAAGATAACACAAGATAGGTCTCCCAGAACATAACATGACTCTTTAAAAAGGAAATATCGTTTTATTTCTCAAGATCTATTTCCTTCTCGACCTTAGTTTTTCCGATAAAAATTTTTGCATCTTCTTCCCTTGACAAAGGAATCCCTGCTTTTGGATGTGGGGACTACGGACTGTATTTCAAAAACCAGGACCAGCCGACCGTAAAAAAATTAGATTTACAGAGTGTGGACTAGCAACACGAAGTCCCCGCCAACCCAACTGACCTTTTCGCATAACTTTCTCGCTTACTGTGGTCACCCAGAGCTTTGAGGTTGGAGTTGCATATGAAGGAAAAGAGTTCTAATCATTACTATTTAAACTTCTAGATTTTCAACCTCCCTGGCGCGTCACACAGGTAAAGGAAAACTGGTTTGCTTCGTGGTCTATCAGTATAAACTTGGTTTGATCTGTTAAAAAAACTGGTAAAAAATATTGCATTGGTGAAAAGCTATCCATGTATGCAGTTCAACCCTGGTTTTAACTTGAGCGTCCATCGATACAAAGTGAGGATATGAACGGTGTGGTGAATCAATTTAATTTGCTATGATAGATTTGGTTTTGCCCACGGTGATCGGTTTCAATTTGTTCTGAGTGATTTACTTTTCATGGTTTTTTAACCGAGAGTTATTTTTTTTATGTAAGTAATTTGTTTTTGCTGTTAGGAATTAGTTTTAATGTGAGTAGTTTGCGTTTGAAAAGTGTGATTTCATAGGTGGGCTTACGTTTTTAACAAGCGACAAAGAAAATATATCTTGAGCAACAAGGAGAAACGATATTCCTTTTTTAACGAGTGAAAGTGTCGTTGAGGAGAGACGTTGTGCGTTTTACCACCAACGTTTAAACCTGTCTTGCAAAACATTTTACCAGCCCAAGGCTAACTTGTTTTGCAGCAAGTGACATAAATCCCGTGTATGGCATGACTCCGGCTTTATTTTATCCAATCAGAAGTTAGTATTCATGCAACTTGCAGCAACCTTAATTTGTCGCAAAACAGATTTGAACGTGGGTGGTAAAACGCGCAACGTCGCTTTTCAACACGTTCTGAAGCAATGTTACAAAACAGGTTGCATGCTTTCGTTGCCCATTTTTTCGTAGCTTTACTTGTTGTGTGTGATTTGCTTCTGGTGCGATCGATTTGTTTTTTTCGGTTGTGCCCTCATAGGTAGTAGAACGAAGAGACTGATTTGTTTCGTCTGATATCGTGAACGGCAAATGTTTAGATCAAACAACATGTGATTCAGACTGGCAGACTGAAAACTCTGCTAGCGGGAACTTGAAGATAACTGTCAACCATACAACAAAACTGCACAGATTAAAACAGTATTTCAAAATTATTCAAGTGCCGTTTAAAATTTCTTACCTGGTGTAAACCTTAAAACTTTCTTTTAGTCTCTGTTCCATCTTCAACTCGCGTTGTTTGTACCGTTTCATGTCTATGTATATGGCACGTAACTGTTGAATCTCCAGTAAGGTTCGACCCATAAAAAAGACCATGATGGCCCACTCTAGGCCAGTCATCTCGATACTGCTTGGTCTCAGACAGACCGCGAAATGGAGCCCTAGTAACGCCAGATAGCTCAAAGTGTCCCGGATGAAGATGAAGTAAGGTGTTGTAAAGTAATCACGATAATTCTCTGAAAAAAAGCAAATATTAATATTAAGGTGTCTCTCTGTAATTTATTAATTTCTTGTTTCTTCAGTTAAATTTAATATTAGGTAAATGTGGAGAAACTGACCTCAAATTTGTCCAATTAGTTCATAACAGTGTTACAAAAGTATTGCTGGCATTTCGCACTACATACAGTGGAACCGAATCTCCTTTGGGAGACCGCTATCAGAGGGACACCTTCGTTCAGGGGACACAAAATTTGGTCCTGGATTAATGTTCACAGTACATAATCTTTATATTTGTAACCTCTACTGAAGGGACACCGTCTATTCAAATGAAAGGGACACTATTTCTGGGTCCCGAAACTCCGGTTTAACCTGCATTCAGGGGACGCGTAGCAATCAAAAAGTTACTGACCACAAAATCATTGATAAGTTTAAGTGTTAACTATTCACAATGGCGACAGCTTTCAAAATATAAATTAACTCACTTAAATCGATGAACTGCAGTTGTGGGAATTCAATAATTTATACATTATCTAGCTGCGTGAAATAACGACTGCTGGAGATTCCGTGGCCTGCGGGAGCAGACGCCCTTTTGCGCTCTAATAAAAATATTTTCTTTGTTGGTTAATTATCAACAAATCCCAGCCCAACCTCCACTCAGGGGATACTTTCCTTGGTCCCGAAGGTGTCTCCTGAATAGAGGTTCCAATGTATTCAAAAGCGAAAGGCTCTTCATTTACACCTCAAGTGGGCTTTAATTTTCTTCCCTCCGTCACATCTAAACAATCGGCAAAACTATATAGTCGGCTGGAACTTACATATATTGAGAAATGCAACTTACCATACAAATCCTTTTGCCTTGGTTCTAAAACATTCAAAGTGGAAATCAAAAACAAACAAACAAAAAACAGGGTAAGACCTTTTGACTCCTTTTCGCATAATACATGTATCCTTATGACTCCAGTTGTTCAAACGTTGGATACCACTATCCACCAGGTCCCAGTTTTCAAAAGGTAAATAGCGCTATCCACAGGATAAATCACTATCCACTGGATAGGGCAATTGGCTTTCCAAATACTAATTATCCACTGGCTAGTGATTCATCCAGTGGATAGTGTTGTCCATCTTTTCAACAACCGGGCCCAGGTCCCAGTTTTCAAAAGGTGGTTAGCGCTATCCACCAGGCCCCGGTTGTTCAAACGTTGGATAGCGCTACCCAGTGGATAAATATCTCTTCAGTGGATGGTGCAATCGGTTTTCCTAATACTTGTCCGCTGGATAGTGATTTATCCGATGGATAGCGCTATCCAACGTTTGAACGACCGGGGCCCGATAAATCTCGATCCACTGGATAGGGCAATTGGTTTCCCTAATATTTATCCACTTGGTAGTGATTTATCCGATGGATAGCACTATCCAGCTTTTGAACAACTACGGGCCTGATAAACTGTCACTAAAGTTTTAGGGAACCGGAAACCAGTTGCATTATACACTGGGTAGAGGTGGATAGCGCATCTAGCTTATTCACCTTTTGAACAATTGAGACTTGAACTCGTTACCCAGCCCTTAGTTCCCCTTGAATGACCTTGTTGAAGTGATGACGCCATAGCAAAAGTTGAATTTAAGAGTGGATTCATCTTGATCGTTTCATTAAATTTACAGATGTTGTTGTCGTCTTAGCGCTGTGTTCTGATCGCAAATTCAGACCCCCAGTACATAACAACTAATCTCCATAAATCCTCAAGAACCCGCAAAACCCACAGCTACATGTAATTCTCGGTAACCAAGTTTGCAGGACAAGAAAATCATGCTTTAATTATTTTATGTGATCTATGAAGAGCCTTAACGCTAACAGGGAAAAATTAAAAGAAAACTCACCGGCGAGATGTGAGCTTCTTCCTCTTGCAATATGAACAATAAATAGCACAGTGAAAACAACTGGAAATAACACCAAGTCAAACAAGCACCAGACGTCAAGAAATATCCATATCCATCGGGCAACAGTGAAATAAGAATAAGTCCAGATCTTACCAATATCACCATACCATCTGTTGTTTTTCATATTATCAATGACTGGATGGATAAAAAACTGCAAAAAGTCGTTAAAAACAACTTTTAATGTCTAGTCCTTGCACGGCACTTGACACTACAGCTGCCCCCGCGCTGTATATTGTCGGTCAATAGTATTCTTAGTGGTTCAGTAGCTCTTTGAAATATATCGATTTATAATGAAGATTTTCACACATATTCCATACAATAGGTGAGAGAAAAACAGGAAACGTTCCATGCACTGATTCAGTTCAATTTACACAGCTTTGATCAAAGAGAATAGTTTACTGTAAGCCATAAGAAAAGATTTAATTAGAAGTTGGAATCCCCAGTTTTCGCTATTTCTCTTTTACTTTTTACATACAGTTCATTTTATTTGCCGGAAAGTAAGCCTTAGAAATTCAAAGGTTTGATCAATTCACGTTCACGCGTTTCCAATCAAAGATTTGTGAACTCGTGTTAATATACGCGCAAACTACTAGTCAGAGTGCCTCCTCGGGAATTCGCCTTCTAGGCGAAATCCCTGCGGGAGCAGTAATACTAATCATCATTATCATTACCATCACGTTCCCCAAAGGCGAAGAGCCAATTACGATTAATCTGAGCAGAGTTGATGCCAATTTACCATAATCATATTCAAAAGCTGGTGTTTCGCACCCTAGCACTTGGTCAGAGCCACTATAACAGCAAAAACCCGCAACTTTTTGCTTTAAATTACTCCTACATGTCTGATTATGATGGATTCGCTCCAACGAAGAGCCGGGAATCAAAAGGTCAAAGATAAATCACAATGGAGGAGTTTCGTGTAAATAGATAGCACAACAGATCGAAAGAGATGATCAGGCTTCCAAGAACCAAAGATTCGCTATACATTAAGATTGTAACTCATCAAATTCTACACCACCTCGCGGTGAGGTATTTAGTGAAATATATATTAAAAAACCTTGCTTCAGTACGCACCTTTTTTTGCTCAAATGCTATAGCATTCTCCATCACATCATCAAAACAACTTTCGAAACGCGCACGGAGCCCGAGGTTGATATCAGACTTCAGAGGATCGATCAGACGGTTGGTGAACTCTTCAACTGAAGACGCCATATTGGCTACGTCATCTACATTTGGTAGCTTTCTACTTGCTAAACGACGAAGTTCATAGCTCACCTTGGAAAAAAAAGCAGGTAGGCGGTGTAAACAAACAAACTAAGCAAACAAACAAGCAAGTATACTTTCTCGCAGTTCTATCATACGGGTCTTTTAACGTAGAGTGCATACAGTGTTTCGTCAAGGGTTCATTTTGATTCAAATTGAAGCGGTCGACTGCATAAACGTTCTCAAACTCGTTAATAATGACTCGTTACTAATAATTCCCTTTGCCTTGAAGGTAGTTTGGAAATTGTACGCCATTTTGGCACACGTTTGTTCCACGAAATTCAATATTTTTTGAACGGTTTGTCTAGCGATGAAAAATAATTCTTAAAGTGATGATTTCTTTGCTGAAAACGTTTTATATGTTACTTCAGCGCTTTAAATCAGTTTGTTTTTAATCTCTGAGCGTCTTGTGTTATCTCTATCTTGGTGAGAGACGAAAGAAACAACAAGAACAACAACAACAAAACAAAAACCTGAGGAAGAGGTTACTACTAAGATAGACTTTTTCACAAGTCAGAGAGGCCGAGGCCAGAGAGCATAAAAGGGGTCTCATTGTCTTGGGACACCAATATGGCCGCCGTTACGTCATGTGAAAATACTCTATATCGATAAACTCACCTCCATTGACATAAACAAACAGTTCTTCTTACATTGTGTCAGTGCTTTGGCTCTTATCTTTTCGTTGATTTTTGTAAAGTCCTCTTGTTTTAATACATCTCTTAAAGATTCCTCAAAATCTGAGTTAAATTGGGGTAAAAAGGCAATGATCAATATAATATATTGTCAACCGAATAACGTTCCTACCACAAGCCCGCGTTGGATACGAGGTAGCAAATAACCAACAAGGTGTAAAGCGCCGAGTTGGCTACAACCAATCTCTTATCCTTCGAGCGTTTTCACTCAAGTGGCCAGCATCTATGCAAATTCTTTGGAAAAGAAAAAAGTGTTTACACAAGAAAATAGTCTAACTCTCACAAGAGTGGGAACTGTTTCTCGAAGGTCCCGATGACTTTTCGGCCGGCCTGAAAAGCTGTTTTGTCTTTGTTGTGTTTGCATTCAGGATCAAAGTTTCAATTATTTTGAAAATGTTACAATGAAACTATCAGGTAAGGAAGCAAATTTGACTGGTTTTTGGGCTAGGGACTGTGCTACTATTCAAAGATGGTTAGGTTTAACCCAGGATTAAGCCAAATTTTACGCAAGGTTTTATTGTCTAAGAACATGCATCTCGATCTTGCAAAATACCATTGAGCCTTCACTCCCAGATACGCTAATGATAACACAAAATATTACTCTGAGCAATACATAGGAAGGTAAAATACAAAACCTGAACAAAATATTAATCCTGAATTTGCGCTTATCGGCCTTGGTTTTCATTTTAAAACTTGTTTGCCTTCCGGCCCGAAAAGTTTTCGGGTCTTTCGAGAAACGGGCGCCTGGTTTGGGACATCCAGGACCGACCTTTCATCACGTCACGTCATGTAAACTCGCGCGCTCTATAGAATAATTGGTTTATGTAATTCTCAACCTTCGCTTTCTGGCAATTTCATTTAAATTTACAAAACATCCTCTGTAACGGCCAACGTTCGATATATTTTAATTCTAACATGACTCCGAGGCTTTAGGGACAAAATTGCCAATATAATTTTTCACGATTCCATTGTCTTGAAATTCCCAGAAGAGACTTGAGCACAAAGAAAACCAAATCAAATATAGAAAAATGACGAGAAGACCTTGGAGTCATGTTAGAATACTCGGGTTGACACTTGGTGCGGGAGGACGGCGCACTTATTTTGATTGAATTTCCATATAAGGTCAAAAGTAGGTATAACGGCTAGTAACTGGGATTCAGGGAACCAATGAGAAAGCTAGAAATGCATTATCCGGCCGAAATTAAGAATCAATAATCACTGTGATACCTGGTATATATTTAATCGATTTACATGAAAAAAAGATCAAATTGTAAAAATTGATCAGCCTGAGTCGTTTACTTCATTGAGAAAAAGGGTCAGTTTTGAAGAATAAAACAGAAGGTGACATTGCCTCAAGATGAAGCTTTTTCTTTCTTTCTCTTTTTCTCCAGTAATTGCAAATTGTAGTGCATTCTCTCTCTCTCTCATACCTTCAATTTCAGTCAGTCGCAGTTCAATTCCTGATTCTGCCATCATCATGCATCAGTTCAATCGTTAGCCTTTAAAACAGCAAAGGAATATCAATAAATCCATCAAGGTGTTCTTTGCAATCATCATTGTACCGTTTTGAACCAGATATTTGTTGCGATATGGACCGAATTATCAATTTATATCTCAGCAAACAAGCTCGCCTAAAGCAACACTCCCTCCAACAGAAAATGTTAAATATTCGCCACTTGCACATCTCCCATAATTAATACACCTTGTTTATCCCCCAAAATTTTGCATAACCTTTGCTATTAATTTCTCGTAGGTATTGGAGTTGTTCCAGGAGAAATTGAAGACAATACTTGCGTCAAAGTTTAGAAGCAAACAAGGTGTATTATGGGAGTTTTGCAAATGACGAATTGGCGAGTAGCAATGTCACCTCCTCCTGAAAGGGATTGGGGTTTTTCGCTAACGCTTGGCTATATAGACATTTATTGTCGTTTAAATTTCTTCACTTTGCTTTTAGTTGTATTTTGTTCTCTATAATTCCCCGCGAAGCCCCTCGCCGCGAGGTTTATAATCTCGTCTCGCGAGAAGCGGGCGTGTTTCCCACGAGCGTCACAAGGCCAGCGCGATTTTCTCTTATCGAGTTTGGTTGGTGTCCGCCTTGACGACATCCAGAGTAGTGGCGTCAAAGTGCATCATGGGTTTCCAGGCAACCGATTGCCATCGATGACAAGTGCAGACAGCACTGACATGTTTTATTCATGAAGAGCTGAGGGGGTTTTTCATCTGAGAATTATAACAATGTTAGCCTGAGAAAACAGCCGACATTTGGCGACGATACCACTGGTTTCCTCACCAAATGACGTCTGAGAAACGAGCGCTGAAATTCCATACTGATGATGCGTCACTACCCAGATCTGGGTAGTGCTTCTGATTGGTCTTGCCGCATCGCAAATTTATTTCAACCATCCCGCGTCATCAGTATGGAATTTCTGCGCTCGTTTCTCCGACGTCATTTGATGGGGAAACCAGTGGTAGCATCGCCAAATGTCGGCAGTTTTCTAAGGCTAATTTCCAGCATTTAGTTGTTGTTTGCACTGGAGCATTATCTCCTACCATTGCCATCCACTCACTACTACTGACACATTTCACCAATAATTATTACACTTAAGGGTTAGCTTTTATTAAGCAAATGCAACTGCATATTAGCCAGCAGTTATCCACTATCACCCACATTTCCTTTTGACCATAATTACACATGTAGGAGGGTCAAATGGGGTGAACACGGGAAAGGACCTATGCAGCATTCACTACCTGCTTCCTTAACAAGTCTAACAACAGCAACCCCATTTAATTTTTAAAGCCAGAGCAATGGGTTCAAATTTAATCCACAGGAGATTAAGTACATGTCACCTTTCAATATTAGACTTGCCTTCCCCAGTTACATAATTTACTCCATTTCTCTCCTGACCTCCCACCCTCAATGGGCCTCCCCCGAGCTCGGCGAGGTTCTGCGACACGCGCATTTCTAGTCTAAGTTAAGTTTAAACAATTCTTGAAAACAAAAAAATGTTTGAAAAAGACTGAAAATTTTATTCTTTGTTAGTTAACCTTTTTAGTTTCTGTTTTAGACTAAATTGCCAGTTCGATTTTAATTTTGCCATGGCAACCATCACACTTGTGTTTTTAAATAAAAGATAGCTTATGATAATGATGTGATGGTCACGCACCGAGAATCAGACAAAATTTGTCAATCGTCCGTTGTTTTTCCTGCAGTGTTAACATTGGTTCATGTCTAAATAAAATGAAAAGCCAACAACGAATAAACAATAATGAAATCTTTCTTGGTGATAATTTCGCGTCGAAATTAAGCTCGATCACCAGGACTCTACCAGCTTCGGACTTCATTTCGATCGATTGGAAAATTGCGGTACAAATCAAGCCTAAATGTTTCGACGCCGTGAAATGAGCCACGTTTGCCAATCGAGTCATGCCTCGAAAGTGTAGTTCTAATTCCTACTTATCATAAAATCTAACGTTAGTTCTTATCTTCAAAATTAGCAGCAATAGCTGGCCAGGTTTGCGTTTTCCAGTCTGTTACCTTGTCTGTAAGGGATCGTCTGCTAGTCTTTTGATTGCTTGTTCATGAAGACTCTCACGATTTCACACACAGGGAATCAATTATCGGTTGTATAAGATCCCGTTTAACGCGTAGACGGAAGCAACAAAAGATGAATCCTTAAAATTTTCTCCATAAAGTTGAACCAAATTGCTCAAATCCACATGAAAATCCAGGCTTGAATCGAAATCAGCCACGCAAGACTATTTAATTGTCGATTCAGCGTGGCAAAGGGGTTTTGCGTGACGCGTGATGGGTTCCAAATTATCAGGGTGATTCGTGATCGGGCCCAAATTAGAAGCTTGAGGCGTGATTGGGCACAGTGGGGTGGTACGTGATTTACTGCTTCCATAACGCGTGACGCATGGATTTCCGTGATTGGTGAATATTACGTACTTGAAACCAGAAGGAGATATTGGTAGTCTTTACACTAGAGCCTAAATAAGCTAAGACATATTTCAAGGCAAGTAAATTTTAATTACTTCGAGTAAAATAAAGCTTTACACACAACCAATTTTTTTTACTTCAGGTTATTTTCCCACCGAACAAAATTAAGACTGAGGGTGTGTTCCTTTCGGCGAATCCAAAAACGGATTTTGGATCCTAGATTTGCCAGATTTCGCGGTCGAAAGGAACGTGAAATCCGAAATTGGATTTGTAACCTTGGTAACCTTTCGCCAACGCGTGCAATATGCACGACAGCCTCTCAAGAAATGACGTGTTTTCTACTGTTTGACAAATTATGCGATTATACCGTGCAGAATATAGTGGTCGGCAGTTCGAATAGCGACGATGGAACATATAAAACAGACAAAGAAAGAAGCGCATTAAAATTGAAAATTATCTAAAGAATGTGGGCCAGTTTGATCCAGTTCCATAGCTCGGATATTTTTATGTAACACGATCGAGTGCCTGTCGCGTCTACAAGCGAGTTTGTAGTTAGATAGCAGTTCATTTGTTACTTGTACTTATTTCTTATTTCAAGCAATTTTTAGAGACAAATGGTTAGTATATGGATATTTTAACGTACCAGGGACAATCTTCTAGTGTTTTCAGATGTTTTGCGACAAATGACAGCAACGAGGAAACTCTACGGCCTCTATGGGAATACTTCAGCTGGAAATACCGCTGGATCATCTGACTAATTTCGGATCCACTGTGAATGGAACAGCGTAGATCACTAATCCGTTAATCTGGATTTGGATTCTTCGGATTTCAAATCTAATGAATCCTTTTTCAAAAAGGATTCACCAGATCAAAAATCCGGATTTGGATTTGCCGAAAGGAACACGAAATCCGTTCTTAGATCTAAAATCCGTTTTTGGATTCACCGAAAGGAACACACCCTGATTGACATGTCTCGCCTTTCTCAAAGCTCAAGAAACCGCAAAACCGCAAGTCAGCTAAGTCTTTCTTGAATCGTTTCAACTTTCCGACTTTAATGAGATGCAAAGCAAAGTTACTTGAGATCTTACTTAGGCCTTCACACACGAATCAGTTGGCCGTCGATAAAATCCGGAACATGGAACATTCCGAATCAGTTGGCCGTCGATAAAATAAAAATAATTTTCATGAACAAAATGGAAAAATTATTCCGGTCTAACATGCTGCACCTATGCAACGGCGTTTTCCGGAACATCCCGCGAATTGCTTTCGAACATGCAAAAATAAAATCATAATTTTCATGAAAAAAATATAATATAATAATAATAATAAAAACTAATTTTTCAGTAAAAACCTAGCCAGGACGTAATAATAACGTAAAACAAAGGGGAAATCATCTTCGAAATAGCCGCCCAACAGTCTAAACGACGATTAAATGGAGGAATTGGCTCCTGGAGCAGTTAAAAAAATCAAAAAACTCAAAAAAAACGCCGTTGCAAAATAATGAAAAATAATTAAAAAAAAAACGAAAAATAATGAAATAATTAAGAAAAAGAAACTGGTATCCTCTCTGAGTATGAGAAAACAATATTTTGTCGCAACCGATTAAAATTTGTTGGGCGAGTGAGGGTTCATGCAAATGACAGTAATGAGTGAAGGCTTGCTTCTAAATTCAAAATATATTAAAATGGGTCGCGAGGAGGGGTTTTTTTAAGCTTTCGTCACAGAGCTACCTCTTGTAATTGTTTGCCATGAGTTAATCATTTGGCGGTTATCCATTTACGGCTCTGCGATGGTCTAAAATGTCGGTGCAGTATTTCATGTCAAGCCCAGTCGGTAAGTAGCTCATTTCAAGCCAACATATATAGTCTCCTTACATATAACCGACATTTGCTTACTTGAGGTGCTTTGCTTCACTTGAGGTTGACATGAATTACTTACAGACTACACTGAGACTAGGCGGCTCTGGGAACTTAAGAAGAGTATAGGGGCTCCTGTCTTTGGATTTTAGTGGACCATACTCACATTCGTATTAGTTTCTATACTGTTTACAGTCAGCATGATATTTCAGACGTCTCCTCGAGTCGCAAGAGGAGTTTGCGGGGAGACGGCTAAAATTCAGGCTAACTGATAACTGGTAGAAACTACCGCTGCGCTACCACTGCCACTGCAACTATTCGCGGCGAATGTGAATCTTTAATTTAATTATTCAAGTACAAAGCGACGAGCCCCTAAGCTCTTCTTACGGTGGCAAAGCCGAAAATGAATAACCGTTAAACCGCATGGCAAACATTTCCATGGACCCTCGCCCCACAAATTATTTGCGACAAAATATTGTTTTCTCATACCCGGAGATGATACGAGTTTCTTTTTCTTTATTTCTTTGTCTTTCGGTTTTTTGTTATTTTACGTTATTGTTAATTTTTATAAAAATTGTTTTATTATTATTATTATTTTATTTATTTATTTTCATGAAAATGTTTTTTTTTTTTCATGTTCCGGGATGTTCCGGAATGTTCCGGCATGTTCCGGAATGTTCCATGTTCCGGATTTTATCGACGGCCCGAATCAGTTTTGGTTAAGTAAAACTTAAGGGCTCTTAAGTCTTACTTAGCAGCCTAGTGTAAAGACAACCATTAAAAACAGATAGTCATGACATCATTTTCTGGTTCTTTTTCTAGTTCGTCAAGCTCGCCTGGTCTCCTGTCAAAGTCATATTATAACCTCTATGCTCTAACCTCTTCCTGCTCCAAGATAGCTGGTAAGGGAAAAAATAGCGCGAAAAACCACCGTTTTTCGCTCGCTCGCTTTTTCGCTGCTTGCGCGCTTTTTTCGCTCATCTACACCGACCTAGAGCCTGGCACAGGCTATCTATTCTCAGACCAGTAAATAATGGATAAAATAGTCAATATTTGAACAACGCCAGATTTCAGAGAACCCTTTTGTACAATTAAGGTCATTCAATTAGCTGTTAGGGCGCAATTCTACCAAAAAAGACGCTGAAAACATTTATTAGAGCTCACTCATTCAATGGGTTGAGATATGACCATGCTAGCGAATACTTATAGTCTCTCCAGAGACGTGCGTGATGGTCTGAAAAAAGTCACCGTGATGCGTGATAGGTACTTCCCTTTGCCACCCTGTCGATCATGTATGCCGATACAACTTATCCTCAAAACGTAATATGTGTTTATCCTGATTAATAGCTTTTATAGGTCAAGATCAAATGACTTTTAATTGATTGCTGCGTACCACAGGTAGCCCAAGCCCTATGAGTCTATTGATCTCGGTAACGGTACGTGATTACAGAGGGTCGTGATGGCACCCAACGACCGAATGTATCCAGATATGTAAAAGGTTTTCTCTATGCTTTAAAAGTCTGTTTGGTTAATTTGTAGCTGTTCGGATGTCTTAGGGGAACTTTAGTGGTCTCGAAAGTAATTAGTTTTTTTTGTCTCATACGCAACTGTTCACGCTACCCTGTTAGATGGGTCCGAACGAAAGTTAGAGGAAATGGAGTAGCTCTACTTTCATAAGATATTTCTAGGAGACGGATAATTTTCAGGAGACCTTTCTCTTAGCAAATGGTTGGGGGGGGGGGAGGGAGGGTGGTATGTGTGATTTAGTTTGGGCAAGAATTTTTTTTCTCAACCTCTGGTGATAGAATTTTTTTTTCCCCGACATTCACGGATGTAAGAATTTTTTCCAGAACTATACGCCACTCAAGATATTTTTTTCAGTGCAGAAATTTTTTCCCCCAGGTATTTCCTTGCAAAAATTAGTTTCATTCGAAATCAGTCTGTGGGATACTTTTTTTCTGAAATCACCCATAACCTCCCCTCCCCCTCAAAAGCCAAATGGTCGGTCCCTTAGGGCTTCGTCGTGCGTTCCTTTCCCAAGTTGGGGAGGATTGCGTGACGAGCAGAAAGAACGTCTGCTTAGGTAGAAGGCTAGCTTTAGCCATAATCATAGCTAATGCTATAGCCTGAGATGCAGGCGTTCGAAAGGGAAGGGAAGAAAATTCGGGCTCGACACCGCGCGCCTTTGGCGCTTCTTGCGCGCCCGGAATCTCCTTTCCGTTCCCATTTAAACGCCTGCCAAGCAGGCTACCGGCGGTCCCGAAAAGGTGCTTGGCCTAACGTGGTACAGAGTCAAAGTAGCGGCGAAATAAGAAACGCTTAGCCTGTAACTGTCATAAGCAGGAGCCGATCATAACTGAGTATAGCACCTTCCTTAAAATTAACAAACCTAGGGAACACTTTTTTATGGTTAACTCTTTTTACCCTATTTACTGCTAACGGATGGAATTTTTCAATTTTTACGGCTATCGACTAAATTTTAGGCCGTTTTACGCCTATCGGTTAACCCCATTGAGACCCGGTCTCCGGTCTCCATCATCGAACAAAACATGTATCAGTCCATTTCCGGTTGCCGAAACCTTGCCAGGATAATAAAGGTTATTTGTCCAACGTGCAATGACTCGATCATTGACTGAAATGAACAGGAGAAATAAGATTTTTTCTTTAAAAATCAGATGGTCTTTACTTAATTAAGGTGGCTCCATAGGGTTTTTCAAGGTCAGTACCTCCTCTGTTTGGGCATGGACTAAATCGTCATTAACAGAGATTTAGAAAAAATACCTCCACAGCTGTATTACCATAGAATTCCGAAAGTAACGGCCCCCGTTACTTTCGAATCTAGCAGGCAAAGGGGGCCGCTACTTTAAGGTAGCGGTTACTTTCAGCGGGTAGTCGTTACTTTCGAATGGTTAAAAAACGTTAGTAAGTTACAGTCTTTTCAGAAACGTAACATGAATATAAAGGTCCTCACGTGAATTAAGGAATGGGGCCATGTGAAAAATGGTTAAAAATAGGCCCTCTTTTAGTAATTTGTTTATGTTTTGTGTTTTCTATAGGTTTCGGGTCGATTTGGGGCCATTTCATAAGTTTTAATTTCTAACAGCTGTTTCATTCAGCTATACATTTTACTGCTGTGGAACCGAAACCTCAGAACAACGGCAGGAGGACTAAAACTCGCTAGAATCGCGCTGAAACCGCCAGAAATGCTAATAACACACCATGAATAAAACAAGGGAATAACGGTAAGAAGTTTTAATGCTATTTTTGACCCCTAAATAACGATGGCTAATATCCCCGTACAAACCCTTACTTATTTTTATAATATTTCTGTGAAGCAACAGCGATTCTTACTCGGGAGTTTGGGGTACCCGTGGCATGGCCTCATTACGTCAAATCATGAAAAACCTACTTGAACTGATGTTTCATTACAGCAAATACAAAAACCATGATTACCAGCCAAACACGCTTATTATCTAATGATTAGGTACATAACAAAACTACAGTATTATTTCTAATATTTTCATGAATACACTGATGTCGCGGTTTTACTTTTAAAAGACTAACATTATAACATTACACCCGTTCATTGGTATGTGTTTCCGTAGTAATTCATGGAATGACGCGAATCTGGTTAAAATCCTGCATTCGCCGATCTCCATCATCAAAAACCACGTAGTATACAGCTTTCTGATAGCAAGCAGCGCGGCCTGTTGGTTTTTTGTAGGTCACCACTCCAGGGTAGTATCGTGTCCTTCCCGGCCAAAAACCAATGACGCGCTGCCCAAGCTTGATCTGAGAGTAACATGGAAGTTTATCAAGGATTACTGCCGTGCGGTCTTTCTTGTAAAGGGTGATGGTATCTCCATCATCGTATCTAATAAAGACAGTTGAAGAGCTTGCCCGTGCAACAAATCCACGATAGTAAAGACCATTTGTCCACCGTGCAAACACCCTGGCGCCGACTGAAAGTATCAGAGCAATCGAATTAGAGCCATGATGAGAAGCACAGCTGTTTATTGAGTCGGCTGGCAACTTAAATAAACCAAAAGGCAAATATTGACCTCGCTATGCATGCAAAATGGTACTGCTTTTATCTTGTTCTTACGCAAAAAAATAAGTGGTAAAGGAGCGTCTGAAAAACAGTTTGAAAGTGGCGAAAAAAAAAAAAAAAAGCAAGACTGGAACTTAACAAAAATTCATCATTCTTCATTTGATGCTTTCATAGTATATATTTATTTTTCGGAGGTCTCAAAACTGAAAATATTAAGTAATAAAATAACGAATATCGCTTATTAATTCGAGTTTATCTCGGAGCACGGACAACCATTTGGTCACGGAATACGAAGAATAATTTGTGGAATTCACGATTCACGAAAAATAAAAACAGGTAATCACATATCTCGAAAATACCCCGGTACGACCTTCTTATTCATTACTCCAGTCGTCAGTCCAGTTGTGAAAGGGCCTGTGACACGGCTGTCTAGTTCATTTGTTTATAATAATGCCAACAACGCCTCTTTTTTGTCATGGAACTTGAGACAATACGTTCAAACGTTCAAAGTTTTCTGAAAAACCAGAATTGCAGTCCGTTTCACGTCTTCTTCAAGTTTGTCCATCCGTTCCTTCTTTTGTATTTGCTTTGATATTTATACCTTTTTTTATGTTTTAAACAGTTTATTTAAATGTTTGACTCCATCTGGTGACGGTTTCCACTGTTTGAATAAATTTCATGACACAGCTCCTTTAACCCTTTTCGGACGGCTAGGGTCCTGAAAACGACCCATATGGAACGATGTTAATACATTCCTCCCTGGACCAATTAAGCTTTCAGTTTAAGTTAATAATTTGGTGAGCAACAACGTCAGCAGAGATATATCTTTCCATGGATATTCTGACCAATCCTGACAGAGTTGTACACGAACAAAAAAGGTAACATTTTGAGGAAAAATCCACGGCCAATTTCGCTCCTTACATACTACTCTTTGAAAATTAAATTTGTCCCTTTCCTAAAAAGTTAGCCAGCCACAATTCCATGCAAAGGAAAGACGATAAAGTGGGCAACAAAACCACCAATAAAGAAGGAAAAAAAGGAAGAAAAGAGAGCGAGTGAGAAAGATTATAAAGGCTTATATTCGGAGGGGTTTATGTACGGAGCCAAATTTGCGTTTCAAAATCGATTGGGCTAGCTTGTAGTGGGAAGGACATTTTCCATTTTTGCTTTGTTTTACTTTGTATGCGAGAGCAAATTCCATGTACAAGCCCCCCGGGGGGCTTATATTCGGAGGGGCGATTTAACGGAGGGTTTTTTGCGTTACGATTTTGAGGGGCTTACATTTGGAGGGGCTTTTACATGAAGGGGCTTATTTTCGGAATTTTACGGTATGCCTTTTTTTTCTTGCAAAATTTTTTTAGCCATTCTTATGCTAATTAGCCGAAAATCAGTCCAAAGAAGAGGAATTGGTGAAAAAAAAAGGTCAAAAATCAAATCAAACTGCTTTTCCTTCACTGTTTTGATTCATTTTCTGTGCTGCTCAGTTGAAGGGAAAACTGAGAGAAAATTCAGCTCATTTTTAACCCAACAGTATTCTTAAACCTTGCCTCTCCCCTTACCCTCATGAGCTGTCTGAGGATCCGGAAATTTCCTCAGCTGATGTGCTTGGTAGTAATCTTCATCGTTGTCATCAAAGGTAACCTTGTATCGCCAGAAGCCAAAGACTATTTGAGACACATATCCTATGTAGTATTTATGACCCCCTTTCCACGTGGCAACCACGTGTTGCCCTAATTTCACTTGACTGGGTTGCTGATCAGGAATTACTGCTGAAATATCTCGGACGGTGTGAGTGATCCGGTCTCCATCATCGAACAAAACATGTATCAGTCCGTTTCCGGTTGCCGAAACCTTGCCAGGATAATAAAGGTTATTTGTCCAACGTGCAATGATTCGATCATTGACTGAAATGAACAGGAGAAATAAGATTTTTTCTTTAAAAATCAGATGGTCTTTACTTAATTAAGGTGGCTCCATAGGGTTTTTCAAGGTCAGTACCTCCTCTGTTTGGGCATGGACTAAATCGTCATTAACAGAGATTTAGAAAAAATACCTCCACAGCTGTATTACCATAGAATTCCGAAAGTAACGGCCCCCGTTACTTTCGAATCTAGCAGGCAAAGGGGGCCGCTACTTTAAGGTAGCGGTTACTTTCAGCGGGTAGTCGTTACTTTCGAATGGTTAAAAAACGTTAGTAAGTTACAGTCTTTTCAGAAACGTAACATGAATATAAAGGTCCTCACGTGAATTAAGGAATGGGGCCATGTGAAAAATGGTCAAATATAGGCAAAAAGATTCTAAAATTTTTCAACTGCTTTTTTGAGACTTTTCTTTTACATAGACCGGAACAGTTTCGCAAGCTTAATATTCAGAGTAAGTCACGTGACTTGACCGTTGCTTACTACAATATTTTGGCTCCATTTTTGTCCTTTTGTTTTGGTGGATGTTTACGACAATTTAATTATCCCTGTTAGGGATAATTAAATTGTCGCAAACATCCGCCAAAACAAGAGGACCAAAACGGCGCCAAAATACAGTGAAACCTGTATTAAGCGGTCACCCTCGGGGAATGCTGAAGTGTCCGCTTAATACAGGGTGTCCGCCTAATACAGGTTTCGATAGAAAACGTCTTATGAGGTGTCAAATGCCATTCAAATGAACAGTGGTAATATTAAGAATACTCCCAGAGACTTTGACGATATTGTTGGTTTTCACATGACGTCACTAAAATTCAAACTAAAAAACCATCGATCCTACCGAGATTTTACTTTCACGATGTATTAGAGCAGCTGAAAACTAATTTTCATACAAATTTTCGCTTCAACAGGGTTCTTGGTTTTGTGATAGAGTACGCTTGAATTTCTAAGCTTTTGTGTGACTTAGCATTTACATGAACGGCCAAGAGAGCTATCATATAAAAAAAATGACTTACTTCAGGAAATTTTGCTATCTACACAGTTCATTTATTAGAAAAAGTATTACGTTTTTTAAATTAATGTTTATGAGTTTTTCGAAGAACAAATTCACGCTTTTGTAGCAAAACTCAGTAACAGATGTTTCTGTTGGTTTCCGTCCGCCATGTTGGAGCTCATCCAGGTGACCACCAACATGGCTTCTCTATACAAATCTCTATAAGTTTGGGTAAAACATTTCTTGGGATATTTCGTATGCGAAATATTCCTCTGACCTGAATCTTGGCGAGGGGCTTTGTATATATACCTCCTTTCATTTCCCAGATTTTGCACTTTATCTATTGAACGGTTTTGATTTTGATTTTGATCTATTTTGAATGGCGTGACAAAAAACCAGCAATACGTTTGCATTCTTTTCTTTTGAAAGTGGACCAATTGATCATAGTACCATAAACATAGATTGCAACTCAAATTTGAAGAAATCATATGAGTGGAACAAGTTCTATACAAACAAAACGAAATAGAAAACAATACTGTACTGTGAAGCTAATCAAATAAGTTCGTCAAGTCACGTTTTTTAATGTAAAAATAAAAAAAGTTGTGGTTGGCAATTCGAGACAATCTTTCGCATTTCCGGTGTCTGGCATGTGGGTGGTGGAATTTGATTACAAGTGTCCGTTTAATACAGGTTGCTAATTATCATTTCAGGTACTTTTTAGGTGTCCGTGTCCGCTTAATAGAGGTGTCCGCTAAATGAAGGTTTAATTTAAAGTAAATAAGAGAAATAAATTTTGGGACTTCGACTACTGTCCGCTTAATAGAGGCTGTCCGCTTAATACGGTGTCCGCTTAATACAGGTTTCACTGTACGTATTTAATTAAGGTTTGACTCTTGAAGTAAAGACCTTGGATAAGGCCAGAAAATTGCTCCACGAAAAGCAGAAAAGCAGTTACCACCAAGCCCGGCATAGTAAATCGAACCCAATCGAACTAAATATCAATCGAACTCAATCGAACTCAATCGGTGGATTGACTTCGATTGAGTTCGGCAATCGAACGAAATCGAACTCACCGAAAAGAAAAAAAATCAATCGAACCCAATCGAACGTTCGATTTTCGAACTCGTGATTTATGTAAAACAGACGTTGAATCTTAGAAGCTCGAGTTACTTCAGCCCTGAGTGTAGCGCACGTGTTTTTCGTAAACGATGAAATTCCGCAGAAGTGGCTTGAGATGCGTTGTGGATCGTAAGCTTCAAATGTATAGTCACCTCTTACTCTCTTGTTCACTGTTAATTGTCCAAGATGAATTTGAGAGAATCATGTATATCGTTAGTAAGATATTTTTCATAATCATCCATCTACTTTATGCCGTAACCTGCGTCGCAGTTAGTAATTTGCTTGTATTTTTGCATAAAAGTAATCCTTCGAGTTTTCTTGCCGCTATTGTAAGTTAGCTAAAAAAAGGAAAGGGTACGACAATTTCGAAATACGCCCGCGGGAATAATGATAGCTTTGTTTTGTTCTGTTCTCTTAACTGCCGTGGACAGTTTATAAATGGGGTTTGTGTAATTGAATAAATAGTAAAAAAAGCGCACGAAAAACTTGCTTTGACGGGCTTGCTTTGGGCTTGCTTTGTATAGGTTCACCAGAGCCAATCGAACGAAATCCATTTAATTGTGTTCGATTGAGTTCGGTTTCCGAACTCAGTCGAACACAATCAGACGGATTGAGTTCGATTGAGTGCGATTTGTTCGATTGAATTCGATTTGTTCCGAAATCGAACTCTCTGAAAGTGTGGTGTTCGATTTCGTTCGATTGCCGAACTCAATCAAACTCAATCCACGGATTGAGTTCGATTGAGTTCGATTGAGTTCGATTTACTATGCCGGGCACCAAGGAAAGTACAAAAATTAATCTTAGCTCAGGTCCAGACACAAGTATCGGCAGCTCATCAGAATGCTTCGAAAGAATTAGACAAATGGGAGAGTGAATTTGCAGTAAACAATGGATTTCCAATAGAATCGCATAATTAAGTAAAATCTCCCATTCTGATTGGTTAACGAAGCGAGGTATTTAGTGTGGAATTGCGAGTTGAAAACGAGGCTAAGCGATATTGTTTCGCATCTACGTAACAACTATCGTCAAATTCTAACACAACAACATGCAAAAAAGGTTTTCTACAATGTCATTTTAAAATGTTTTCAAAACCATTCATTGTCACTTTTTGAAGAGTTAAAAACAAACGAAAGCGTTTTTTAAAGTGAGCCGGAGCTTCTTCCTTGTTTTGAACTGAACTACAGATTCTCGAAGAGACATAAAACCTCTTTCACTCGCGACAACGAAAAAACAAGAAAATCCTGTGAACACGGCCCAGAAAATGGCAATCCAAAGTTCAACCAAACAAAACGGAGAAGCGACAACGGAGGAAGTGCCGGGGTCGATTGTCCCATATACAGAAGAAGAAATAAATACCTTCAAAGAGGACATGGCCCCTGAAAACACGAAAAAGAGTACGCCGCCTGCAATCGGCCTGAATCGTGGTACTTAGAAAAGTACAAAACAGAGCTGAACTTGAACAGCATTTCTAAAACATTTCAAGGTACTTACCTTATGTCAATCGCGACGTTAAACATGTTAAACTTTCAGTGCTTTCGCTTGGACACTTGATTTCTTTCCGTTTTGCCGCCGAAGAGGTAAAAGGTGTAAATTATTTTCCTTCTCGAGCAAATGACCAATTTGAAAAAAGACGTTCTACATAAACGGCTTCTAAATTCAGTAAAATACCTCTATTTATCCTTACGATTAGTGTGAAGCTTGTTTACATGTAAAAAAGTTTGAAAACAAATGTAAAAACAAGCACAAGGTACAAAAAAAGTTGTCGAAGGTTCAAACGTGTACGACTGACCTTGCTTCCTATTCGCTAACGCAATGACAGTTCTGACAGTTGACTTTGAAATGGCTTTCTGGAGCGCGCGCTCAGGATAAAAACAAACAATATTATTGCTGTTTTCTTTCTTTTTCTTCTGATTTTTATTCAATTATGCGATTCAAGGAAAATTCGTTACCTGACTCGAGAATTCCACGTTAAATTGCACTTGAAAACCGATATCGCACTCATCGCTTCGCGATTCGTGCGATATCGGTTTTCGCGTGCAATTTAACGTGGAATTCCCTCGTCAGGTAATGAATTTTCCTATAATATATGAAGACTATAAAACTGAGGCAGCCATAAAATCTGCTTGCAAGAAGAGAAAACTGAGCAGGCAACTATTGAAACTCTGGAAAATAACTGTACACCTCCAGTGAGCTTGAACTTCATGCGTAATAATTTATTAATTACTACATGTACCAGACCCGGCTCCACAAATTTATAGAAACATTAACGTGCAATATCTGTTTTAGGCAGACACTTTAATACGGGACTGTTCAAGCTGATGTTCTCTAAGTACAGCTTCATTTTTCAAAAACATTGGCAAAAGAAACGTTTCATTGTACTCACTGATATTGTCCAGGGGCACCCAACGGAAATATAGTTCAAAACCACTTAAACATAGCATTGATGAAGGTATTTTAGTATTTAAACGATAGATATAGGCATATTTTTATCTCCTAAAAATTATTCATCTGCTCGGATTTCCTAGCTGAAAGTCTAGTGATCATGAAAATTATAGGGATCAAAACTGACCTTTTCGAAAATTTCAGCCAGAAAAAAGGTTCCCAAAAATTCTTAAAAATCCGTTAAAAATGGGCAATTATACCATTCTTTATATGTTCGAAAATCCTAGGAGAGGCAGGCAAGAAAGAAAGTTTACAACAAATGTTTCGAAAATACTAGATCTCAAATCGTCTTCCGAACAGATATTATCCGAAAATTGACGTTGGGTGCCCCTGATTGTCTACCGGTATGCAGACCATAACAAATCAGGTTTCACTGTAGGAATTTTAATTGATAACTTCATTTTTACCGTCTTCAATATAGCTCCCTGCTTCAAGCAAATTACCTTATTCATTCTTCTCTTGCCAATTATAAATTTCAGAGATCTAACAATCAAATATAGTCTGCGTAAAAACAATCAAATGTTGTAGTTAACATATAAAGAACCTTTCAGTGCATGCACAGCCACGTATTAAGTTCAATATATAATTACCCATTTTTAAGACTGCAGTTCATGTATCGAGGCAATAAGAATACGAAGTCGGCCGCTCTCAACATTATAAATTGCAATAAAGCCGCATTCTTCCAACTCTCAGTGAGCAACCATGATTAAAGTTAGTAAAACTACGGATTCCTTCTTAAAAAAGAAGTCAGGGGCACTCAACGAGAATATAGTTCAAAACCACTTAAACAAAGCATAGTTAAACGTATTTTGGTATTTAAACGGTAGATATAGGCATATTTTCATCCACTAAAAATTTTTCATCTGTTTGGATTTCCTAGCTGAAAGTCTAGTGATCCGAAAATTATAGGGATCAAAACTTACCTTTTCGAAAATTTCAGCCAGAAAAAAGGCTCCCGAGAATTCTAGGTGACCTTTTTAGGGTAAAAATCCGTTAAAAATGGGCAATTATACTATTTTTCAGATGTTCGCAAATCCTAGGAGAGGCAGGCGAGCAAGAAATTTTACAACAAACGTTCCGAAAATTCTAGATCTCAAATCGTCTTCCGAACAGATATTTTCCGAAAATTGACGTTCGGTGCCCCTGAGAAGTGCACCTTACTGCACTTTCTGTGGCTTTGTTTTTTGGTTTAACAGGTAAAAAATTACGAAAACAACGGCATATAAGAACAAATGGATTAAGAACACCAGCCTGAAATTTGGCCAATAAAACCCCATTTTTATAAGTACAGGATTAGCCTGAAAATTGTAACATGTTCTTATAAAATGGAAAAAGTGTCATAATTACAAAACATGTTAGATGTATTTACTTGTTCATGTTAACCGGTGATTGTTAAATTAATATTTATTCATCTAGGCTGATTTTATTGATTGTGTTCATTTGTTAATATAATCAAATTACAGAATAATTATTTACTTTATTTTCCTAAAATATGCTAAATATACCTCTAGCAACATGTTTTGGATAGTATTACTAATAAAATAAAAATTTAAATTTGTCATTAAGCAAGCGATAAATAAGAACTCAATCAGCCTGACCTCCGAAATAGTGTGTTCTTATATGCGGGTGTTTACTGTAACTGCTTTATCGAAAACCGTAATTCGCTTCTACAATAATAATAAAACGAAATCACACTCACCTGGTTTATTTTGCGATATCCACACTTACACATCACAGTTTTTAATAACCGGAAAAATTCCCGGTCGAATTCACGCATAAAAGAGAGAACGGTAGGCTTTTCAAGCAAATTATTTCCCACGAAAGACGAAAATAGGGTCATTTATACGAGGAAAAATAAGACGCGTCTTACGTAAGACGCGTCTTAAATAAGACGCGAACTTTCCGTATAAACGGCCACATTTCGTCTAAAATAAGACGCGACTTAGCTAAGTCGCGTCTTATTAATTTGTAAAAAGGCCCGGTTCAAACGTCGAACTTTACATGTGCCGAACCTAATACCTATTTTGCTCGACCCAAACTATTAAGTTCGACTGTTGATTCAGACGGTGGAACTTTACACGTGCCGAACCTAATTCGTGGCGAAAACGATTATGGCGATTATCATCCTTACTGCTTAAAATAGGGAAATAAACTAAAAAAGTAAAATTCATCAAGCCTGGAAATTCTTGTTTTGATTTTAGTGTGATTTGTGTTCCGTTACAGCTGAGGAGATCGTGATCGTGATATTTGGACAAAATATAAATGGCCCTATTGAAGTATTGTGTTTTTACAAATTTAATGAGGGCTGCGAACACGAAATTCGGTACGGATCGAGTTCATTGTTTACTATAAAAATGCGAGAACAAAAAGTTAACATAATTATTAAGTTTCGCATTAATAATTAACTTGACACGATGTCTGGGGTCTGATACTTCCTTTATAACTCACGCGAGTCATTCCGTTTATGCGTATTACTACCCACATGAACAAAGCGACAATATTAACATATAAGAGGCCCCAAATGTTGGTACTATAGGGCGAACGGTCAGTTATGGGTGTAGTAAATTGCGATTTAACTCTATCATTTGACTCTTTTGACAAATACAGCTTTGAAATGATGCATAATTTAGAGAAGGCTTCAGATAAGTTTGAGATCGAATCACAAATGACACGTCATGTTGTTTAGTTGACACACTTTCGCATATACAGTCAGCAGCTAGGGTTCAAAGATTTTCACACGTTCTTGTTAAATCATTGTCCGTTATTATGAATGGCAGTAGCCTGATTCTCAGACGTCCGAGTCGTTCGCGGTCCCTTTCGTTTTTCTGGAGAGGGAGAAAGGGACCGCAAACGACTTCGGGCGTTTGAGAATCAGGCTATGGCAGAGGCTGATAGTTGACTTTCACTAAAAATATAAAAAAAGAGACATTTTTTCTCGTCCCGTTTACGACATATGTTACGTTCAACGCTCTTTAAAATCTCTTTTTGCGTAGATCGAAGGTACTGCTTTAAACGTTACATCAGATTCATCACAATACAGTGAAACCTCTATTAAGCGGACACCTTCCGGACCTTCCCAACCGTCCGCTTAACAGAGGTTTGTTAAAATTGCGCAATGTTTGTTAGCGATTAACTTTCAACGGTTACTTCGTGCTGTGATAAAGTTCAATGTTGTTAAGGAAGCTAAGGACGCTGTGCTGTACTTTGGGCAAGACTATCGGTCTAATCTGTAGTTTATTGACAGCTAAATGTTTTGATTTATCTTTATTAATCGACTACTTTTCGCATTTCAAGGATGTAATCCAATACTACTATTGTCAATTCAGCCCGGTGTCCTCTTAATAGAGGTTATTAACAATAGAAATTAGCCAAACATAATTTATTTTAGTGTCCGCTTCCGCTTTATAGAGGTGTCCGCTTAATAGGGGTTCGTTATAAAGATAAAAGACGTTAATTTCGGGACCCGGCTTAGTGTCCGCTAATAGAGGGTGTCCGCTTACTTGTGGGGGTCCACTTACTAGAGGTTTCACTTTACTTTATTGTAGTACTCAGTGGTAATTTTCGAAGGGCCGTTACTTTCGGGGGGCCCTTACTTTCGGGATTCAATTATAGAAAGATAAAAAGTTAACGTTACTTTCAGTACTTTCGGCTAGCCGTTATTTTCGGGGGGACCGTTATTTTCGGAATTCTACGGTATACAGCAAGGCGTCACATCCTAAGTATGTAACACTTACCACGAACAGACTGTGATTGACACGAAAGCAGCGGTAGAATAGACGTCAAGATGAGAAGAAGCAAAGTCATCTTGCAAAGTTTGCGTGCGTGCAGTATAAACATTGAACATCCCAAACGTTGCTTAAATACCCTTTGTATGACGTTTCAAATCAGGAAGACTATTATTATTGAATAACGGATTGACATCTCGGTCTATTTTAATTATTTATTGATTTAGGTTCACTGATTTCACTGGCTTATAGATTAATGTTAAGTAAACAGGAACCTTTGAAATTGCAGCACGTAGCAGCACGAAAAACTTTATAGGCCGGTTCACCCTGAATTTGGATCCCCGCTGCTTAGGTAAAAATTTTTTCCCCTAAATCACAGTAGGAGCGGAAACAGGAACTACACTAAAAAGAAGACAGGCCTTATGAAGGCGATATAAGCCGGATTAATCCTGACACATTTTAGCGGCAAATTTGACTCATTAAGGTATGCGAGTTTTTTTGAACGCCTGACATGTAATCAGACAATAAAACAATGAGACAGTGATATTGTTTCTTTGCTTTTATATTTTTCGTGGCTAGCAGTTTCGTTCCGGCTTGGTTAAAAAAGTATACTTAACCGGAATTTTCAGTTTTAAAACGCCTTGCCATTGTATTGGTGAAGGATTACATATACCCTGATTAATTTGTAAAAAGGCCCGGTTCAAACGTCGAACTTTACATGTGCCGAACCTAATACCTATTTTGCTCGACCCAAACTATTAAGTTCGACTGTTGATTCAGACGGTGGAACTTTACACGTGCCGAACCTAATTCGTGGCGAAAACGATTATGGCGATTATCATCCTTACTGCTTAAAATAGGGAAATAAACTAAAAAAGTAAAATTCATCAAGCCTGGAAATTCTTGTTTTGATTTTAGTGTGATTTGTGTTCCGTTACAGCTGAGGAGATCGTGATCGTGATATTTGGACAAAATAAAGTAACGCCATAAATTTTAAAATACCTAACGATTTCTTTATGGATTTAAAGAAAAGCAACCTTTTAGAAGCCTGTTTTAAGCTGTCCAGTTTCAGACTAAAAATCGACAAAGTGAATGCTGGTAACCGTCGTTACGCTTCTGTGAGTTCTGTCCGCATTGGCGCGAAAAGCCACTAATAGCCAATCAGAAGCGCGGTTATATTGAAAAATACGTTAACATAATTTATGCATTAGGTCCGGCACATCTGAAGTTGGACGAATGAATCGAAGTCGATCTTTTGCCGTTTATATGATTCGACAAGCTCAGTCGAATAGAACGGCAGAGTCGACCCAAATACGGCGAACTTTACATGTGCCGAACCTAATAATTAGGTTCGGCACATGTAAAGTTCGACGTTTGAACCGAGAGAAGTAAAATCTTCAAAGTAACGTTTATTCGTTACGCACAGGCAAATTAATGACCCAGACGGTGTATTTTAATAAACACGGCAAATTAATGCCCCAGTGTATTTTGTTAAACACAGGGAAATTAATGCCCCACTGTCTTTTGTTAGACACAGGCAAATTAATCAGTCACAGTGTATTTTGTTAGACACGAGGCAAATTAATGCCCCAGTGTATTAAAGCAACACGGGCAAATTAATGCTCCAATGTATTTGTTAGACACAGGCAATTTAATGCCCCAGTGTATTTGTTAAACACAGGCAAATTACGGTATTTGTTAGACACAGGCAAATTAATACCCCAGCGTATTTGCCGTATTTGTTTAATTTAACACAGACAAATTATAGCCCCAGTGTGTTTGTTAGACCCAGACAAAAGAGAATCACTTCTTCGCTTGAAATATCACTCAGCATGCCTAAAGATTTAATGCTCAAGTTTACAGATATTTCTTGACGAAAGATCCAAATTTTTTGTAGGCCGGCTTATATTTACGTGTATTGGGTTTATAGCACACAAACCTCCTGAGAACCTCAACAGTTCTACCAGTAAAATGATTGTCCTGGGCGCGCCGTTAGTTTCAAAATTCCCGGTCAAAATTATTTGTAAACGTGATGTTTAATGTGGTGTGACAATAAAATGTTCCTGTAATATCATCAACCAACCATTGTTATTTTTCGCCTTGATATCATTTTACGGTTCGTGATGTAACATTTTCTACCTTGATATAATTTTACTGCCGTGATGTGACATTTTCCACTCGCATCAAGGCAGTGAAATGATATTAAGGAAGAAAATGTTACATCACGGCAGTAAAAATATATCAAGGAAGAAAATGTCGCATCACGGCAGTAAAAATATATCAAGGAAGAAAATGTCGCATCACGGCAGTAAAATGATATAAAGGTAGAAAATGTTACCTCACGGTAGTAGAAATATATCAAGGCAGAAAATGTTACATCACGGCAGTAAAAAGATTTCAAGGAAGAAAATGTCGCATCACGGTAGTAAAATGATATCAAGGTAGAAAATGTCGCATCACGGCAGTAAAATGATATCAAGGTAGAAAATGTTACCTCACGGTAGTAAAAATATATCAAGGCAGAAAATGTTACATCACGGCAGTAAAAAGATTTCAAGGTAGAAAATGTCGCATCACGGTAGTAAAATGATATCAAGAAAATGTTACCTCACGGTAGTAAAAATATATCAAGGTAGAAAATGTTACATCACGGCAGTAAAAAGATTTTAAGGAAGAAAATGTCGCATCACGGTAGTAAAATGATATCAAGGTAGGTCACCCAGAACATAACATGACTCTTTTAAAAAAAGGAAATATCGTTTTATTTCTAAAGATTTATTTCCTTATCGACCTTAGTTTTTCCGCCAAAAATTTTTGCATCTTCTTCCCTTGAAAAAGGAATCCCAGCATTTGGATATGGGGACTACGGACTGTATTTCAAAAACCAGGACCCGCCGGCCGTAAAAAAATTAGATTTACAGATTGTGGACAAGCAACACGAAGTCCCCGCCTACCCAACTGACCTTTTCGCATAACTTTCTCGCTTACTGTGGCCACCCAGAGCTTTGAGGTTGCAGTTGCAGATGAAGGAAAAGACTTCTAATCATTAATTTAAACTTCTAGATTTTAAACCTCCCTGGCGCGTCGCACAGGTAAAGGAAAACTGGTATGCTTCGGTGGTCTATCAGTATAAACTTGGTTTGATCTGTTAAAAACCTGGTAAGAAATATTGCATCGGTGAAAAGCTATCCATGTATGCAGTTTAACCCTGGTTTTAACTTGACCGTCCATCGATACAAACTGAGGATATTAAGCCTGTGATGAGTCAATTTAGTTTGCTATGATAGATCTGGTTTTGCTCCCGGTGATCGGTTTCAGTTTGTTGTGCGTGACTTACTTTTCATGGTTTTTTAGTTGAGAGTTATTTGTTTTTATGTAAGTAATTTGTTTTTGCTGTGAGGAATTAGCTTTAATGTGAGTAGTTTGCGTTTGAAAAGTGTGATTTCATAAGTGAGCTTACGTATTTTACAGGCGACAAAGAAAATATATCTTGAGCAACAAGGAGAAACGATAGTCCTTTTTTAACGAGTGACAGTGTCGTTCAGAAGAGATGTTGTGCGTTGTACCACCAACGTTTAAACGTGTCTTGCAAAACATTTTACCAGCCCAAGGCAAACTTGTTTTGCAGCAAGTGACGTAAATCCCGTGTATGGCATGACTCCCGCTTTATTTTATCCACTGAACAGAAGTCAGTTTTCAAGCAACTCGCAGCAACCTTTATGGCAAAACAGATTTGAACGTGGGTGGTAAAACGCTCAACATATCATCGCTTTTCAACACGTTCTGCAGCAATGCTGCAAAGCAGGTTACACGTCTTTGTTGCCCCTTTTGCTGTAGCTTTACTTGTTGTGAGTGATTTGCTTCTGGCGCCATCGATTTGTTTTTTTTGTGCCCTCATTGGTAGTAGAACGAAGAAACTAATTTGTTTCGTCTACTATCATGAACGGCAAATGTTTAGATCATGCAAACAACATTTGATTCAGACTGGCAGTCTCTTTTGTAAATTGCAAAAGAAAATGAAAACTTTGCTAGTGGGAACTTGAAGATAACTCTCGACCATGCAACAAAACTGTGCAGATTAAAAGTCTTTCTTTTCCAGCGCCGTTTGAAATTACTTACCTGGTGTAAACCTGAAAACTTTCTTTCAGTCTTTGATTCATCTTCAACTCGCGTTGTTTGTACCGTTTCATGTCTATGTATATGGCACGTAACTGTTGAATCTCCAGTAAGGTTCGACCCATAAAAAAGACCATGATGGCCCACTCTAGGCCAGTCATCTCGATACTGCTTGGGCTCAGACAGACGGCGAAATGGAGTCCTAGTAACGCCAGATAGCTCAAAGTGTCACGGACGAAGATGAAGTAAGGTGTTGTAAAGTAATCGCGATAATTCTCTGAAAAAAAGCAAATATTAATATTAACGTGTCTCTCTGTAATGTATTTATTTCTTGTTTCTTCAGTTAAATTTAACGTGAGGTAAATGTGGAGAAACTGGCCTCAAATTTGACCAATTAGTTCATAACAGTGTTACAAAAGTATTTCTGGCATTTCGCACTACATACAGTGGAACCGAATCTCCTTTGGGACACCGCTATCAGAGGGACACCTCCGTTCAGGGGACACAAAATTTGGTCCTGGAAAAATGTTCACAGTACATAATCTTTATGTTTGTAACCTCTACTGAAGGGACACCGTCTATTCAAAGGAAAGGGACACTTTTTCTGGGTCCCTCAACTTCGGTTTAATCGCCATTCAGGGGACACCTTGACAATCAAAAAGTGACTGACCACTGAATCATTGATAAGTTAAGTGTTCACTAGTCACAATGGCGACAGCTTTCAAAACATAAATTAACTCACTTAAATCAATGAACTGCAGTTGTGAGAATTCAACAATTTATACATTATCTAGCTGCTTGAAATAACGACTGCTGAAGATTCCCTGGCCTGCGGGAGCAGACGCCTCTTTGGGCTCTATTAAAAATATTTTCTTTGTTGGTTAATTATTAACAAATCCCAGCCCAGCCTCCATTCAGGGGACACTTTCCTTGGTCCCAAAGGTGACTCCCGAATAGAGGTTCCAATGTATTCAAAAGCGAAAGGCTCTTCATTTACACCTCAAGTGGGCTTTAATTTTCTTCTCTCCATCACAACTAAACAATCGGCAAAACTATATAGTCGGCTAGAACTTACATATATTGAGAAATGCATCTTACCATACAAATCCTTTTGCCTTGGTTCTAAAACATTCAAAGTAGAAAACAAAAACAAACAAACAAACAAAAAACAGGGTAAGACCTTTTGACTCCTTTTCGCATCATACATGTATCCTTATGACTCCAGTTGTTCAAACGTTGGATAGCACTATCCACCAGGACCCCAGTTGTTCAAAAGGTAGATAACGCTATCCATTGGATAAATCAACACCGCGGCAAAACGCACTGCGCATGAGCACAAAATTTAACATCCGGTCAGCTTTTTATTTCTGGTCTAGTATATAAACCAATTGCGTAAGCATAACATTGCCGTCGCACCAAGTTTAAAAGCAAAAAGGGAGTAACAGACAAAAAAGGGGGCGAAAAAAATCACTTAATTCGAAAGCTTATATATTTTTCTAGCGTCAAACTTTTGCACCACATGGTTATCTGTTTGCACCAAAGGTGAAAATGATGTTTGAAGTTTGCAGGTCGCGAGCGCTCGACACCACGAATTTGTGTTTACTGGCTTTCTTGCATGCTACTGGTTTGGCAGAAGTTATGGGAGAAGGCGACAACTAAGAAAAGAGTAACAATGCGTATGAAAGAAACCAAAATAAAGACGTCATCATTATCATTAACACTAAAACCAGGAAATAAAATTTTAGTCCGTTTAATAATTTTTTTATTATCGGAGAAAACAAGACCTCAAAACAAGAGATGGGCGGGATTTAATAACAACTTCGACTTTCATGTCTACATTCACGAACACCCGGAGTTTTCAGTGCCGGGAAACTAAACATGCCTATAAATGACTTTCATTCAAGAAAATGCCTATTTAATTCTTTTACACGGTTGTTCTTTGGTTGAAGAATTTCAGACTGTGCGGCTCGGCTGCATCTCATGCAAACACGAAACTTCCAGCTGCTAAATACATGGCATGAAAAGTTCGACTTCCAAAAGCCATCGAACCAGCTTTCACTCTCTGATTCTGAGAATGAAAAAAATTAATAGGGTTGTCAACTTGCTGCCAACCTCAACAGTATAATTAATCTTATGTTTCATGGCAATCAACTCAGAAGAGTTTCGTTTCAAAACACAGTAACTCACCGGTAAATAAAACTACAAAGCGATTGTGTGTTGTCGTTTTCCAAATGAAGCTCGAATCGGCTTTAACACATGACGACTGAGAAACTGAAGAACGGAAAATTAGAACTACAATACACAAGCTTGCAATGATAGCTTTTTATGTCTTAGTTTCAGCCAGGTTAAGTGAAAAATAACAGTCAAAAACGTTGTTTTCGTGAATGAAAATCAGTTTAGCTGACGCTCTAGCCAAAATTACACACTGAGTTATAATCATCTTACCTTTTCTGAATCTATACGACTAATTGTTTCAGTGATCTGTGCCTGGTTATCCATAAAAGCAATTTCAATAACTACAAAATAGTCAAAAACACGAGCAGCATGAAGCAGAACAACTGAACCACAAGCTGCACACAGAATCAAGCCGAGCGCGCGCGGGAGACTTTGATCTGACCGGAAAGTGTGACTGAAAAAGAGACCGGAAATGCTCAACCTGGCGCATGCGTAGACGTTTTGCCGCGGTGTTGGATAAATCACTATCCACTGGATAGCGCAATTGGTTTCCCTTGCAGTTATCCGTGGGATAGTGATTTATCCGTTGGATAGCGCTATCCAACTTTAATTTTGAACAACTGGGGCCAGGCCCCAGTTTTCAAAAGGTGGATAGCGCTATTCACCGGATAAATCTCTATCCAGTGGATCACGCAATTGGTTTCCCTAATATTTATCCACTTGGTAGTGATTTATCCCGGGCGGTGGATAGCGCTATCCAGCTTTTGAACAACTGGGGGCCCGATAAACTGTCACTAAGTTTTAGGAAACCGTAGACCAATTGCATTATCCACTGGATAGAGGTGGATAGCGCATCTAGCTTATTCACCTTTTGAACAACTGAGGCTTAAACTCGTTACCCAGCCCTTAGTTCCCCTTGAATGACCTTGTTGAAGTGATGACGCCATGGCCAATAAACGGAGTGCACAAGAATTTCGGATAAGCCTAGCAAAAGTCGAATTTAAGAGTGGATTCATCTTGATCGTTTTATTAAATTTACAAATTTTGTTGCCGTCTTAGCGCTGTGTTCTGATCGCAAATTCAGAAACTCAGTAGATGACAACTAATCTCCATAAATCCTGAAGAACCCGCAAAACTCACAGCTACATGTAATCAGTGCGGATCCAGACCTTCAGATAAAGTGGGGGGGGGAGGGCTGTCATCCAGACCCTGAGATAACTAGGGCGGGGGGTCCTCCAAAAAACGTTTTTCGGCCCCTTGGGCCTCAGTTTCGTCTAAAAATAAGGGGGGGGGGCGGGCCCCCCGGGACCCCTCCCCTAGATCCGCCACTGGTAATTCTCGGTAACCAAGTTAGAAAAGAAAACTCACCAGCGGGATGTAAGCTTCTTCCTCTTGCAATACGAACAATAAATAGAACAGTGAAAACAACTGGAAATAACACCAAGTCAAACAAGCACCAGACGTCAAGAAATATCCATATCCATCGGGCAACAGTGAAATAAGAACGGGTCCAGATTTTACCAATATCACCATACCATCTGTTGTTTTTCATGTTATCAATGACTGGATGGGTAAAAAACTGCAAAAAGTGGACAAAAACAACTTTTTATGTCTAGTCCTTTCAAGGCCTCTCTAACAGTAATAATAATAATAATAATAATAATAATAATAATAATAACAATAATAATAATAATAGGGTGAAAGATAAGGAACTTGAGAAGTTAGAGAAATACCAACTTTTGAAAGATGAAATTGCAAAACTCTGGCGCATGCGAAAAGTCATTGTAGTGCCTGTTGTTATTGGGGCCCTTGGAGCAGTATCAGTCAATTTTAAGGAGTACATGAAGCGAACCGGCGTGAATGTGAGGTTGGAAGTTATCCAGAAAACAGCATTGTTGGGGACAGCAAAGATACTAAAGAAATTACTCAGTGTCCCCTTAAGAAGATGGAAAAGAGAGACCTGGGACCTGTGGTGACTTGTTGTAACCCTCTTCCAAGGACTATAAATCAGGCCGAACATCCTGCCTGAGTCTACAAGGAATAGACGTACTAATTATTATACTAATAGTAATAGTAATTATAATAATGTTAATAATTATAGTACTAATGCTAATACTTATCCTCATCACGTTACAAAGGCGAAGAGCCAGTTAACAACACCAACAACAATATCAAATGCTTTATTTGCATGACCATAAAGGAATTACAGTATTGCAAAAGCTATAAGTCTAAATTTAAGTACTAATTCAACTAATTAGTACGTCCAAAACATTACAAAACGTTACAGTTCTCATTCATTCATTCATTGATATTAATTTGGTTCTTAATTCAAAGCATTGCGAGATAAATGAAACTAATTGACAGTTAATTAAATAATCAGAAGGATTCATAAGAAGAGATCTTAAAGTATCGTGTGACAGTGATTTGAAGTCAGGTATTTTAGTTTCTAGTTTCGAGAAAAATATGTCTCTGATCTGAAAATAAGCCTTACAATCTAGTAAGAAATGATTTTCATCTTCAATTTTGTTACTTGTACAATTACGATTAACCTGAGCGGAGTTGATGCCAATTTACCACAAACATACGCCCTCTAGTAAGCGGTCATCTATCAATTTCCCAAAATTTGCTTTCCATATTCACTGTAAGTTTGACCTCTATTCAACGGTCACCTCTATTACAGTATGCGGACGCGGTCATCGTCTGCAGTGGATATCCCAGATGGCTAATTTTAATGTAATTTACGTCAGTCTGTTAAACGGTCACCTTGATGCATAACAATCAATAAATAGCAAATTTTTTGGAAACGAAGATAAGCGAAGCATGTCCAGTGTCTTTCACAACTCATAAAACTCAACATAACACAAGCCCAAATCACAGACGACTTAAACTGAATTTTTCTCTTCATCGTTAGCCTTAAGAACTACGTTACTGTGAAATTTGTTGTTTTGGCCTGAACTCCTCAGAACATCCAGATACTTTTGTCATATTTCGCGTTACTGTTATTGTGAACTATAAATTGTAATAGAGTGACAAATTTTGCCCTCTAGGTCAATTTTTGCCACAAGTTTTGGGCCTACTTTTAGAAAACCTCTATTAAGCAGTCACTGGCTAATTCCCGGGGGTGGTCGCTTAATACAGGTTTGACTGCATTCAAAAGCTGGTGTTTCGAGCCCCAGCACTTGGTCGACAGAACCACTATCAGAGCAAACCCCGCAACGTTTTGCTTTAAATTACCCCTAGATGTCTGATTATAATGATGGATTCGCTCCCAAGAAGAGCAGAGAATCAAAAGGAGCACTTTAGTCTGTGTTTTTTTCTCACGGTCGGTGGCAAAATTTGTGTTATTCCCCAACTAGCCTGTGAGCAACTTCTCCGGGGAGTTCTGGCGGCGGCGCGAGAAAAAGGACGGAGAGCGTCCAACCATGTATCTGGAATTTGAATTCCGCCTCGAATTGCCCTGTGGCTCCCTGACGGGGAGTCACCGTCGACTGAGCTGTCAGATTTCCGCCTTAACAAACATTGAAAAATACGTGAAAGCACGCGCCAAGGGACGTGATAGACTGTTCACAGTCCTCTATTTTTCCGTAAGATCGTCGAGATCGGGCGCTTTGCGTTACGGGCTGCAATCTTGCATGAGTGTCCAAACTACTTAGGGGGCGGTTTGGGAGGAAGCGAGAAAAATAGAGGGACTGTAATAACATCACTGCAGCTCGTGTTTCGACGCCATCTTGACGAGTAGGCAAACGTGAGAAATTACAGTGTTTGTATGAGAATCCAATGTCGAATAATATCCGTAAACGGCTGTTCTGGAAAAAATATGAACTGTAAACTAAAGCTACACAGCAAAGGATTTTACCAACAAATTTTGGGGGCCGCTACTGTGCTTAAATTTCTCCAGAAGCTTGCTTTAGATTTTCCATATATTTGTCTGCAATTTTTCCCGGGAAATTTTTACAGACAAATGTATAGAAAATTTGTAAAAAAGGTTTTAGGTCTTCTAGCGCATGTAACGCCCTCAATTTTTTTCAGTAGAATCCTTGAGAGTGACGCTTTAGTTTACCGTTCATATATTTTTTAAAACAGCCGTTTTAGGGAAATTATTCGACATTAGATTCTCATACAAACACTGTAATTTCTCACGGGTTTGCCTTCAGTCGGCGTAGCGTTAGATTTCAGTTCGTTTGGCAGAAACTGTTACAATATTCCCCTGGCCGGGTTGCTTCAAAAGCATGTTGGCTTACGTGATTCATCCTCAGAATACCAAAAATCCTTCGTGTGTTGGCGGAAGATGTGCCTTATGGTGGTATCATTGAAGCGTACGTTTTATGGAAACGACGGCTTGTCAACTACTTGTCAGTGTCGGCAACTTAAACTAAACCCGTTGTCAACGCAAATTAACATCTATTGTCTAATGACCAATCAGACACCTGCGTTGCTGGTACAACGCAAGCTACAGTGATGTTATTACAGTCCCTCTGTTTTTCTCGCCCCCCTCCCCCTACAGCTGTAATCCCCGACGCCCGCCCCCCTCGGTACATTTGAAAGTCAAGAGGGCCTCGACCATCTCACGAAAAAATAGGGGACTGTGAACAGTCTAGGGACGTGATTACTAATGTCATCTCCGCCAATCAGCATTTCGCATCGAGTTTTTCGATGCAGATATTCAAATTTCAGAGACGTATTTGCAAGCTCTCTTTCCTTTTCCCGCCCCGCCGCCAGAGCGCCCCGGAGAGCTTGCTCGCGGGCTACTCCCCAACCGACGTAGTAGCACAGTTTCTTTTGAAATGTACCCCTTCAGCTAAATTTGAAAAGAGACAATGAAGGGTTTTTGTGTAAATAGATAGCACAAGCCCACAACAGCGACTTAAGAGACGATCAGGCTTCCAAGAACAAATAATTAGCTATACATCAAGATTGTAAATCATCAAATTCTACTCCACCTCTCGGAGAGGTGTTCAGTGGAATATATGAAAAACCTTGCTTCAAGAACGCACCTTTTTTTGCTCAAATTCTATAGCATTCTCCATCACGTTATCAAAACACCTTTCGAAACGCGCGCAGAGGTCGAAATCAGACTTCAGAGGATCGATCAGACGGTTGGTGAACTCTTCAACTAAAGACGCCATATTGGCTACATCATCTACATTTGGTAGCTTTCTACTTGCTAAACGACGAAGTTCATAACTCACCTTGGAAAAAAAGCAGGTACTCGGTGTAAACAAACAAAAAAGCAAGTATACTGTCTCGCAGTTCCATTATATGGGTCTTTTATCGTAGGTGTATGTAGTGTTTTCCACCGGGGTTCGTTTTGATTCAAATTAAATTGTTGACTGCATTAACGTTCTCAAACTCGTTAACAATTCCCCTTGACAAACAGTACTTTGAAGGTAGTTTGGAAATTGCAACCTATTTTGGCACACGTTTGTTCAACGAAATTCAAGATTTTTTGAAAGGTTCGTCTCGCGAGGAAAAATACTTCTTATAGTGATGATTACTTTACTTCAGCTCTTTAAATCAGTTTGTTTTTAATCTCTGAGAGTCTTGCGTTATCTCTTTCTTGCTGAGAAACGAAAGAAACAACAAAAGTCACACTGAACAAGAAAAACCTGACGAAGAGGTTACTACTCTGATAGACTGGCTCACAAGCCAGAGAGGCCAGAAAGCATTAAAGGGGTCTTATATCGATGAACTCACCTCCATTGACATAAACAAACAGTTCTTCTTACATTTTGTCAGTGCTTTGGGTGTTATCTTTTCACTGATTGGTATAAAGTTCTCTTGTTCCAATACGTCTCTTAAAGATGCCTCATCTGAGTTAAAGTGTAAAGGGCAATGATCAAGATCATGGTCAACCGAATAACGTTCCTACCATAAGCCCGTGTTGGATACGAGGTGGCAAATAATCAACAAGGCGTAAAGCCTTATCCATAGAACGTTTTTGCTCACGTGGTCAGCATCTATGCAAATTCTTTGGAACGAAAGAAAGTTTTTACTCAAGAAAATGGATGTCAGTAAAACGAGGGGTCAGGGTCACTTCCGGGGCTGGGGTCAGGGTCAACCTCGTCCCCAGGGCGCTTTTCCCTGGCTTTGAGGGAAAAGCGCCCTGGGGACGAGGTTGGGGTCAGGGTCTATCTTTTTTTAAAAGAATGCTGTCTTAGGGTTAGGATTTGGGTTTTGAATACACTAACCCTAACTCCCTAACCCTAAACATAACCCTAAAACAGCATTCTTTAAAAAAACAGATAGACTCCTACCCCGACCCCGGGTTTTACTCAACCTCGTCCTCAGGGCGCTTCTCCCTGACTTTGGATGTGGGGCGGGGAAAAGCTCCCTGGGGATGAGGTTGGGTTTTACTGACACCCTGAGAAAATGGTCTAACTCCCACGGGAATGGGACCTGGACCTGTTCCTCTAAAGTCACGATAACTTTTAATTCTCAACCTTTGGTTTTTGTCAATTTCATTTAAATTTACAAAACATCCTCTGTAATAGGTCCACGTTCGATATATTTAAATTCTAACATGACTTGGAGGCTTTAGGGAGAAGCTTGCAAATTCACGACTCTATCTCGCAACTCCAGACCAGACATGAGCACAAAGGAAACCAAACATATATAGAAAAATGACCTGGAAGCCTTGGAGTCATGTTAGAATATTCAGGTTGACGCTTGGTACGAGAGGTCGGCGCACTCATTTTGATCGAATTTCCATATAAGGTCAAAGGTAGGTACAATGGCTAAATAACCGGGAATCAGGGAACCAATGAAAAAGCCGAGAAATGCATTATCCGGCCGAAATTGAGAATATCTATAATCACTGTGATACCTGGTATATATTTAATCGAGTTTCATGAAAAAAATCAAATTGTAAAAATTGATCTGCCTGAGTCTTTTAATTTTTTCAAAAGGGGTTTTTCAAGAATAAAACAGAAAGTGACATTGTTTCAAGATGAAGCTTCAAGCAAAGCATTAATTTTGGCTTGTTAATATCTGACTTTTTATCATAAAAGTTCCTTCTTGCTTTGTTTTTGTTTTTCTTTCTTTCTCTTTTTCTCTGTAAGTGAAAACTGTGGAGCATTATTTCTCTGGTTTTCTCTCTCACATACCTTCGTCTCGTTCGCGATCAGTTTCATTCAGTCGTAATTCAATTCCTGATTCTGCCGTCATGATTTTCAATCTTTAGCCTTTAAAACAGTAAAGAAATATCAATGAATCCATTATGCATCAGTCAATTCCAGCTGCGCCTAGGCACCCCCCCCGGGCTACTGCGGGGCATTTGCCCGCCTTGTCAATTTTGGCTGCCCGGGGGCCGGGCATTTGCCAACCCTGGGGCTATTCCTAAGCTTTTGACACGCACGCGGTTTTCTATCAGAATATAGCTAGAGGATTTTACTGGAAAAACAAGCATATTGGCTCATCTGTCAAGGACAGGAAAAAAAATGAAGAGGGTTGTAAAGGCATGTTCTCGATTTTATGCGTGCATTTCTTCATTGCTTATCAAGCCAGAATAACATAGCAAAATCGGGAGCTATCGACGTGATTCAACGTTTTTCACTAAACTGAATCAAATTTCTGTTGATATAATTTGAAGAACATCCTTGCATATTTCATTCGACATAACAAATAACTTTATAGCGCTAGATTAATTTTAATGTCAATAATTTTATAACATTACTAAAACCATAAAGTGGTGTTAAGGAAGACGTTAATTGAAACAAAACATCGAACATTAAAAAAGCTAAAAATGGCAATTGTGCGATCAATGAAAAGTATTTCAGGGTTGTCGGAGGACGGGGCATTTGCCCTCTTTTTTCGTCCCCACCCCAGGGGATTTGACAGCTCAAGAGTCCCTATCCCCGGGAATTTGCCATCCAAGCCAAAAAGAATGTTATGCCGCGGGGGCAGCCCGAGGGGGGCTGGGCGCAGCTGGAATTGACTGATGCATTAAAAACGTATTCTTTACAATCATCATGGTACCGTTTTAAACCGGATATTTGTTGCGATATGGATTGAATTATCAATTAATATCCCAGCAAACAAGCTCGCCTAAAGCAACACTCACTCTAAACGTGACATATTCGCCATTTGCTCATCCGGCCCATAATACACCTTGTTTGTCTTCCAAAATTTTGTATAACCTTTGCTATTAATTTCTCCTGGGTATTAGAGCTGTTCTATCAACGATGCTTATGCTGCTTGCTAGTTTTAAACCTTTTTGGTTTCCGTTTTAAATTGCCAGTTCGATTTAAATTTTGCTTATATGGCAATCCATCACACTTGTGTGATTAAATAACCGATAGCTTATGATAATAATATGATGGTCACGTACCGAGAACGGCAGGACTTTTCCGCGGGTAGCGGGTGGCGGGTGACGGGTAGCGGGTGGAGGGTGAGGGGTAGCGGGTGACGGGTGACGGGTGGCGGGTGGCGGGTGGCGGGTTAAAAATATATATGAAAATAAAATATTATAACAAAATATTATTATTGATAATGATATAACTGTATGTTGTAATTTTGAAATTATTTCAACGTTTACGTACTAGTTACCAGACTCCAAATAAAAGTATTGTCTTGTTTTGTTTTATCTACTTTAATACGCGGACTAAAAATGGAAAAAAAACCCGAGAAATCATGCCTGTGAAAGATGATTGCACTTCCCCAACTGTTTAGCCGTGTTCATAACAGACTGCAAGAGATTCGGCCTCCCGTGTCGTAGCTCAGTTTTTGCCCTAGTATGCGGCATGATTGCCATCCTAATCGGTATTTTTGAGTAGTATTTAAAAAATGCAGATCCTTTTTGTATATATATACAAGGAGATCAATTCGCGTCTGAGCCGCCACATGCGGCGAAAACGGTCCATGCTGTGTCCAAAACGTTCTTGCTCCTTCTCTGGTACGCATTAACATTGACAGCTTTGTTGCTTTAGTCTTAGGAAAATTTCCTTGTTTTCTCGAAATAGACACTTTGTTCATTTTAAACTACAAGTCGGAAACCAAATTGACAAAGATTTATCCCACGGGCAATACAATGTTTATCCCAACTTACAACAAAAGAACAAACGCACTTGTTCAAACATGTCGAGAAGAGAATGCGATCTTACTTGTCTGGTCGCAGGATAAATATTACTTTAATTTTTATGAGTTCCTCAAGCTATCTCGTGCATGCGATATCGTGTAGAATAATAGAATCTCTTGCAGTCTGTTATAAACACGGCTAAACAGTTGGGGAAGTGCAATCATCTTTCGTCTTGATGTGGAAGAAAAAGCAAACTAGACAAACAAGATCGACACGTGCCATGTGTCTTGCTTGACATAGCCCATTTTCATTTGACACACCGCGTGTAGCCTGACGAAACGTCACTTGCGGTGCGGAGCAAGGAGAGGTGACTGTTTTCACAGGCATGATTTCTTTTTAGTCCGCGTAAGTAGATAAAACAAAACAAGACAATACTTTTATTTGGAGTCTGGTAACTAGTACGTAAACCTTGAAATAATTTCAAAAATTCTGCTGTGATAGTCTATTGATTACTTGCTGATGAAAGACTCACGATTTCATACAAGCATTGTGTACAAGGACTCAACTATCTGTTGTACAAATCCCGTTTAACGCGTATTACGAAGGGGAAGCAACAAAAGATGAATCCTTAAAATTTTCTCCATTTGTTCAGTTCCACATGTAAATGCGGGCATGAATCGAAAAAAGCCACGCAAGACAATTTATTGTCGATTATGTATGCCAATACTACTTATCCTCAAACTTAATATATGCTTATCCTGATTAATAGCTTTTATGGGTCAAGATCAAATGTCTTTTAATTGATCGCCGCGTACCACAGGTAGCCTAAGCTCTAAGAGTCTATTGATCTTTGTAACGGTACGTAATCCACGAGTGATGGCATTTCGGGGGCACCCAAGGACCGAAATACGTCAGAACTGCCTCCAAAGTTTGGTTAATTTGGAGCTGCCCTAAAAACTATTCATCTGTTCGGATGTCAGTAGGGGAACTTTAGTGGTCTCTGCTCCTGGTTTTAGTTAATTTTTCCGTCTCATACGAGACTGTTAGCTACCATGATGGGTTCGAACAAAAGTTCGAGGAAATGGAGTAGCTTTACTTTCATTAGACATTTCTAGGGAGCGAATCCCCGGGGGAGAGGGGTACTGCCATCTATGGGCAATATAGGTATGTGCCGCTGTGAAGGATATGGTTTTCAAGCAGTTTGCTCTAGGATAGGGTATATAAATCAGAGCGTCTGGGTTTAGAATAGGGCATCATTTTTCAGGAAACTGATTAGTTGGTTGAAGATTTTACCTAGATTAGGGATTGTGGTATAAGGTTTTGTTTTGGCTAGATTGTGCTAGTGACCTCAGTAGTTTCTGGAAAACAACTACTATAGGATAGGGGGGATTTGGGGAGTTTACTCTAGTGTAGGGTAGCAAAATTCAGCTGAAATAGCTCTGGTATAGGTTAAGGGTTCCAGGGTCACAGGGGCGGAGCGAATCCTCTTTATACTTAAGTGTTCATGTAACCTTTTAAATCGCAATATCCTGGTTATCAAATGTGAAAGAACACAACATCCAAAAGTCGTAGGTAGGAACTGGTTAGTAGAAAAACTCCGAATAACTTAGGCGAATGGAATTGTTATCCAGAAGTGTTTAGCCTTTCTGGAGCCTCAGATATTTCCAAGCAATATTTGCTCCGCGTCCAACAGTTATTTTACAGAAAAAAGGCATTAGGCCCCGTCATTTCGCAATAACATAACATAAGGATTTATATGAGGAAAATATGCGATTCTCATGGTAAAATTAAAACC